ATGATTAGTCTGAAAGTAAACGTATATCTGACATTTAAGCCAACAAACATGGTGTTATGTTAAGAATTGAGTTCAGTTTATTCAAAAATAAACTAAAAGGACATTGCATTCATAACTAAAAAGACACCGAGGAATTAATTTGAATTTGTTTTTTTTGGAGGAAGGTGCTTCTGACAACTGCCGTCCACCTCAATCTTGCCGTCATATATCTTCTTAGACAAGACCACTCGTTACCCATTAAAGCTGGTCATTTAGAGTTACAACATCCTTTTCACTGATTCAACTGCTTCCCAAATTGTAGAGGATCATTGCATTTACACAATGTTTACTCATAAAGATCAAAAGCAACGTTCCCCCCCCGCCTCACACACACACACACACACACACACAAACACACATCAACTAACACAATAAATGAATGTAAATAAACTCACATGCATCCACAGGAGCAGATACAGAAAAAGACCTACGTACACACGCGCCTGACGCCTACACTCCATCACTCAGACACATACACCAGCTCCCCCACCCTGAACCAGATGGTCGGTCCAAGCTAGAGTGTGAAACACTGAGGTCACAGAGGATCAGTCCCAGGGATTCATTCTTCCCAGCTGAGCTTTTAACATGCGCAACAACAGCCCACAGCCACTGCATATGATGCTGTGTGCCAGAGAGCGAAAGACAAAAGAGGAAGATAGATAGACAGAATGAAAGAAAAGAAAGGAAGCCAGAGTGGGGGGGTGGGAGAGAGAAGACACAGAGACACAGCTCCCCACAGTGGAGCTGTATTGAACAGTCTACAAAACAATATAGGATACATTAAAAAAAGAGCCGTAGAGGCTTCAACACAGAGCTTTGTTCATGTCAATTAAAATCCAGGTTTTCAGTCCTGCTCCTGGCGGCAGCAGCAGCTATAGTTCAGTGAGACCACTTTCTAATGCTCCACAGGGGCGCTGCAATAGAATGGCAGTACAAACTATCTTCTAGAGCAAAGACCCCTGAGATGCATTTTCACAGTAAAAAATTCCCACAAGGTCAAATGGGTTGTGTTTTTATTTTGTTTGTGTGCTTCTTGCTGTCTTTGTCATTGACAAGGTGGCATGTGGTGGTGGAATTACAGTCCAGCTGTGAACAGGGCATGCCTGGTGAGTTTCTAATGAAATCAGAATAAAGTTGAGCGAGCTAAAGGCAAAGTCACTACTCACAAATGTGTAAGCAACTCTTAAGGTGTTAACCTCCTAGTCGTGTGACGTCTGTTCATCGTGATGGCTGAGGCGGATCCATCTGACTGCTCAACTGTTAAATAGATGCACCCAAAAAAAATACACTTGACGTTAGCACACACTCTGTACGGGTCTGCTTCATGCAAAACTGTGTATTTAATATAATTAAGGTCACACGGGACAATCAACAATAAACTACTACAGAGAACAGTTGATCATCTACTAAGTATGCACACGCTAAATTGGTGCTTTTCAAATAGGAACTGACCATGAATATGTCTGGAGTGACACGGCCTCTAGAAGAGCATACTGCCAGTTGAGAGTATTCAAAAATAGTTTTGCTGTTTGGCTTCCAAGGCCTGGCATACTGTGTTCTTAATTACCTCATACATGTGCAATCAGACATTTTAATAATGAGAAAGCGTAGCCAGCTGCATTCCTCTTTACACAATTATGTATTCATTTACAGTGCTCTTGACTAAGTGCTTTAATGGTAAGCTTTAAATTGCCTGTTGTGAACCAGGGTTGTCATTATTCTGTGTGTGTGGCCCTCCCACAGCGTTACCCAACTACGTTATTGGCATCTTACAATAATGGTTGGTAGAAATTAAGATGTTTACTCAAAGTGTGATCATCAAGGTCTCCTAAGCAGAGGGGGGTATTGAGGACAGACATTGCACACTTTTTAACAGATGTTCTCCCCATTGACAACTTCATCATATTACCATTATGCTGTGTGTGTGTGTGTGTGTGTGTGTGTGTGTGTGTGTGTGTGTGTGTGTGTGTCCCATCCAGCAGCAGTTGCATCCATCTATCCAGTTTCTCCGCTTAACCCCTCCAGCAGTCTTGGGAGGGTAAAGAACTAGTCCACCGTTCCGCAACCGGGACGGACTCCGCACAGCCCCTCTTGAATCCGAGGTTTAACCAACGGCCGGAGCCTCGTCTCCAGCACACATCATACTAGCACCGTTCCACCGGCTGAGTAATGTGATGCCCCAGTAGTTCATTTTTTTTGTAAATGGGAACCACCACACTGGTCTGCATGTCCTTTGCCGTTGTTCCAGACCCCCACGCAACACTGAAAAGACGGGTTAGCCAAGACCGCCCAACAATGTCCAACGCTTTCAGCAACTTTGGGCAGTTTTTTTCACCATCGTAGCGACTTCTGCCAGGGATGTGGACTCGACCCCCTCCCCCACAAGTTACTGGGTTTAAGATTTAAAGAGCTCTTTCCAGCGCCCGACAGTATCGCCCGTCCGGGTCAGCACCTCCCAGTTAGAACAGAACCAAACCTATAACAGTTGGGAGGTTCATGCACACAAACGCTAACACCAAACTGACGCAAGTTTGGCCTGAAATCAGTGCTGCCACCTTGAGATAACGCGCACTGCAACGTAGGCTTCACCAGACAATAATACATGCAGCAATTCCACTTCATCTCACCGTTTAGTGGGTTTTCATTGCGGCCATAGCTCTTGATCTGTGATCTGCATATGCTGATCTGTTTAATTCCCCCTATGTGTGTCTGGTCATGAATATTAAACATATTTGGTGTCAAGGAAGTCCCCTCTGGAAGTGAATTTAAATTTCTAAATCCCTCACAATCGGCCAACGTGAAATCTTTTCCAGTAATAGCTCTCCTATCCCGTGTGTTACCCGAGTGACTTCAAATGAAGTATGTAAGTCTTGTTCTGCGACAAACAGTTTTCCATTATCGGAAGGGTGATAGTTTGCAGCTGAGTTTGTGATGAGTACCACATTAGCGCATATCTGACCGGCCTTTTTATGCCTCAGCCTTTCCAGTTGGGTCATTAAAAATGCAAATCCCAGTCACAGCGGCGTTTTATGACACCTGTTCTTGTTTTTCAGGCCGGCCCCGATAAGTGTCCCGTCGAGTACTTGCAAATCAAGACAGAAGAAAGGAGAGCTGGGCGGACAGGTAAGCCCGCTCAGCTGTCAGTGTAGTCCCCCTTCTCCCTACACTCACATCCTCTCTTCTCCTCCCGATCACAGCTCTGCCATTTGTTCTTCCATCAGTCATTTTCATAGCCTTCTTCTCGCTCTCTCTCTCTCTCTCTCACTACGTTGGATGAGGACATTGCACCCTACCTCTGCCTGACACCGTCTGGTTGTCTCAGGAGAATTTTTTATGTTTGTGGGGTTCTGTGTGAACTGTGTCGAAGAGGCCCCTCTTTCCTGTAAAGATGTCTGGGTTCATGAAAAAGGAAACCGGTCCCAATAATACGGTTGAGGGAATATAGGGCCAGAGGAGTAGTGCGATTACGAAATGCAAAGCAATCCTGCAATAAGTGTCAAGCACTTCTTCTGTGATTGAGAGATCTAAAAAGGAATGATTTAAACCACCTTCTTTTAAACGATAGACATCAACATAGTTGAGATGACCTACTAGAAACCTACTGATGTTGCTTTCACTGCCATCACTCTTCTGCATTGATACACACACACACACACACACACAGTGTGTCCATTCTGAAGAACGGCGCAATGAAAAGCTGTCAAAGTCGGTGAGTCGTATGTTTCAAGTCCAACTGTGATGCAGGATCATCACTTGTCTTTCCAAACGGCTATTTATAACACAGCAATATCTCAGGCATCTATTGTCTAATAACAATCATTTAAACAACAAAATGTCATGCAGTGTCTGCTGTAGTTTTCTGCCTACATTTCCTACTGATATCTCATGTTAAATTCTGTGTAATGGTATGGTGGTTACCAACGCTGTGTTCATTAGATAAATGACTAATGCATGGTATAAATACTATTGTACACCCTGAGAAATACAGCCAATATGCTTTTGTTCTACACTTTTTACCACGTAGCCGTGTGAATAAATGTGTTTCCATTGTATTTTGCTTACAAAGCAGTGTGCCTTGGATTTCATAAGCTTCTTTCCTTCTCAAATAAATATTGCTATGCTTCTGGAGCACCTGCTTTTTTTTTTTAGCATTCTCCGATTCAAGTACCACTCAAGTAACAGTGAAAATGTTTTTCTTTACCCTTTTTTTAGAATCAAAGTGTAGGTAAAGAAGCAGATCATTAGACCAGACCACTTAGGTTAAATACATCGTCCAAGACTGCTAAGACCAGTCATCAGATAAAAGGAGGAAAAAACTTGGTTGAAACACTGGTTGAAATATAAAAGGATTTTATTTGGTGGAAAAATTGCAATGCAAGACAAAACTGAATCACCTTTCGCAATGAATCGTTCACTCTCTGTATGTCTATGCTTTACCTTGTTAGTTATCAAGCACTTTGTCAGTAGAAGGGGATGTTTAATTAGCAGATGCCATGTTGGTGTCTGAAATGACAGACAAACGTGAAGTTGTATTTGCTACAATGGTATCATTGACCATTTCAATCCATTTGGCCTTGGTGTGCAAATGCCTTGAAAAGCCCTGAAGGACAGACCTACAATATTCTGAATGCATCATAGGTAAATTATGTCATTAGGAAACACAGAACTGGTTGGGTAACTTAAGATGAACGCCCACAATAGGCTGATCACAGGGAGAGAAAGATATGAGATAATAAAGGAGTGCACCACCGGACCGAACTTTCACTAAGCTTCATATAAAGAAGTCTCTGCAAAAATCTAAATTTATGTCTTGTTTGTGGGCAGTTTTTATGAAAGAGGGTTTTTTGCCCTCACACACATTGAAAAACAAGAGCAGCAGATCTAATGATAGCGGTAGCTGCTGATTAATGGAACAGACAAGGTGGTGCTCTAGACTTAAACGTCGTACTTATTTTTGGCTCAGGGAGTTTGAGTTTTTTAAATAAAGCGGGAAAGCTGACATTTGTCTAAACTTTGAGCCTGTCTGTGCTCCATCCCAACATGCGTGGACTTGCACTTTTGGGGTTTGTCAAGCAGCAGAAACAGCAAAGGATCAGTGTGTTATTTCAGTCATATCCCGCTTGTCGTTTTGGCTACAGAAAACACATGTTGTAAGTATGAGCTCAACACTGGATCTAGCTTTCGAGACTTTGTACAAACCGGTTGTCTGGCGCTGAAGATTTTGACGCTGTAGAGCACTTTCAATGATTTACTTTCCCCGCGGCCTGTTCGTCGGTAACGACAGACTTACTCAGATCTTGCCATGCAACGAGAAAAGCATGTCGCTACAACAGAGCCGGGATGTGTTTTTCAGAGGCCTCTCCCTTGTCTCTGCGTTTATTAGCAAGTGTTTTTTGATGGGGCTCCTGTGATCTGTAGCGTTTTTTTTGGGGGGGGGGGGGGTTGTGAAGTTTCTTTCTGTCTGCTTCGCTGTACTTCTCAGTTTGCCTCCAGCTCTCTTTGCCTTCCTTCCTCCCTAGGAAAAAACATGAAAAAAGTCCACAGATGAGTGGGAATCCTTTAGAGCTGAATACGGCCTGCTCTCTAGATGATGCAGGAATGTGTGGCTGCGCCGGCCTTTTCTCTGACGCCTCGTCTGACTTCAGAGGGACTTATTTGAAACCCATCTTGGAAAAGTATAGCTCAAAGCTGTGCTGTCAAAGCTCTCACAACTTTTTAGAAATTCAATGCAACTTCATTGAATGAACTACCGTTGAGAAATTAGTCTGTTGTATTTGTCGTTAAGAGACTTTTCTTTTTTTGAATACAGTGATTTAGGGGGGCAGTATTCAAGTCAAGTGGGCTAAATCTGTTCAAATCAAAATAACTATCTCTGAATAGGTAGGGCACTGCTTCATTGGCTCTCCGATCTAAAACACGTGGCGTTGATTGCACTACAATCAGAGTTGGTTCACCGACCGTCGGCCCTCATTGCTTATCTTGCTTAACAAAACTCTTTGTTGTTGGCATTAAATGAATGCACTCAGTAGGTATACTTAAAAATAACTTCAGAATTCTGGTGAGTTCTGAGATTTGAGATACAAATGACATAGCTCACTACAATGACTGGTTTTCCATGTCACAGACATCTTCTACATATCCAGTCCACGCATCAGATCATGTGAATAACTCCCTTTGAGCCCATGAACATAGGTTGAGATGCTAGTTCTCTGCTTATGCTGCAACGACCTAGCAACAAATTTATAATCATTCCAATGTTTGGTGCTTTTGTTGTTTTATGATCTTCCTCATGTAACTGTGTTCAGGAGGTCACCCTAATCCAATGAACACTATTTATTTTTTATTACCTGGTACCTATTAACCACAAATATGTAAGTTGTCATTGATTTTTATTTTTTTATTTGCTCTGATTAATGCCATTTCAAAAACTACAATTGTTAGGGATTTAAGCCAGAAGTGCACCCCTAGTCAGGAAATTATAGTACGTGTAATAATGTTTAGTGTTAGAATTATAGTTTGTGTGTTATTAGATATTAGTTATTACATTAACATGTTAGATTGAGTGAATGCAATTTCAATCAAACACAATTCATAGTCATTTAAATCATATAAACACTGTACACATTAACATTCTGTCACAATGTGATGTTAAAACCTGGGGACGGATGCCAGTTGCCGTTCTTTATGGATTTCTCCCAATTTCACCCCCAAAGAGGGTTTTTTGGGATTTTTTTCTCCTGTCAGGTAGTAAATGAACAACTTAATGTAAGGCAGCCGACTGAGGCAAATGTCTTGAGAATTGAACCACATGAACTGTCTTAGATCTTATGATGAAGTGTGATGAACAGGGATCATTAATGATGGGTTGTTGTGATGAAGGTGTACTAGTTATAAGATGAAGACTTAAACTATGTATGCTTTGTTAAATTCACTCACTGGGGCATAAAGCCAACTGAATCTACATTGAGTGCATTGGAATGTGAGGGACAGATAGTACAGAGAGGTTTCAGGTTACAGCTGCAGCTTCACACCTCGACGTGAAGGGGACAGTCCAGGAGGTGGCCCTTTGGAGAAGAAGCCAATGACATTCAAATGCACCAAGGAAGACACACCTCAAGAGGTTTCAAAGGACCATGGCGGGGGAAAGGACTGGTAGAATCTGACCTGCAGCCGCCTTGAAAAGTCACTTTAGACTTGCTCAGAGGATTCTCTATTTCGCGAAATATTCCACTGTTCGCTTAGTATTTCACTTTGTAATTGCATTCCTTATAACGTTGTTTAGTTATTAAATACTTTTTGATTTTTGAATCTAAACGAATTGACTCATTCGTGTCCTCGTTTCCGGCCAGGACGAGAACAGGAGTGAGGCCTCCCTCGAGAGCTTTCCGAAACCCTAACACTTTTCACCAACTTTTTAACCGATTTAAACATAAAAAGTGAATGGCTCTGATATGTGGATAAAAATGTCCTTTGAAATTACTCAAGTTTTTCGCAGACAAGGACTCGTGTCCCTAACAAAATAAGTGCATGTTGTCCAAACTGTATGTTTTATGACGTGTTTACTCTTCAGGGACCCTGGTGATGATGTCTTGGCATGGGGAGAGTCACTCGACCATCTTCTGCAGTGTAAAAGTAAGATCACTTGTGCCATATTTATTTCCCTCAGTCTTTTGTCGAAAGGCCTTTCTCTCACTTCTTCGTTTTTTATTTTTATTTTAATTTTTTTGCATTCTCAATTGTCCGCTGCTCGGACTCTGCATATTACCGTTTATTGCCCTCGGGGAGGATGGAGGATATATTCTTCCTTCAAGTTAGTCAAATCATTCAGAGACGTATTGAAGGAGGATGCCACTGGCACAGATAAGAGGCCTGAGCTGCTGGGGTAGATGGGGTGATTCCGTTCATTTATAAAGCCACCACTGTGATGGCTTTTACCCGAACAAGCAGATGCGTTCCTTGTCTCTCTCTTTCTGCTGTCTCTGCTCTCTTCTAACTAAACGGAACTGAATTCCGCTGCTCTGTAATATTTCAGCTTGTTGTCTCCTGCGCGAAGATGCATTTTACCTTGCATCCCAGTTGCTCCATTTACCTTTTGTAACAAATCGGTTAATAGCAAAAAATAAATAGCTGTGCCTGTGGCAGTTTCAATTCAATAGTATTCATATTACTTTGTCTCATCTAATTTTAAAGGGTGGACTCGGTTATGATTGAAAGCTTAGATATGGGCCAAGAGTGATTTGTAGATGGGAACTATCAGCCCATATTTTGTCTGCTGTCAATTACTGTCAAAGCACCATCTGTGATTCATGCCAAGCAATTTGTGTGAATAACAGAGTATGTTTTTGAGCAGCAGCTCGAGCATTTACTCCTAGCTGCCCTCAACTAGATATCCAAGCTGAGACCGCAGCCTGTAGTTCTTTCTTGCATTTAACTACATCACCGTAGAAAGACCGTACATTTAAAATTTCCTTTTTAAACTTGATACTATGTCACTGTTTGCACAAAGGTATTACATATCCTAAAATCTCGAGGCTGGGATCAGTGTATCTAATACGCTACTATGATTTTTAGACTGTAGAACAGGGATAAAGAGGGCCCAGCACGGGGCCCCTGTGCTCGTGTGACAATTACAGGAGAACATTCATTTCTATAAATGTAGCTGCTATTCCCAGTCAGTCCATCGGGGGTCGCACTGTACGAGTAAGCGCATGAGAAAAACTGAGCTGGATACATACTAGCTTACTAGTAAGGCCCACTTGAGATCAAAGTGGGGCTTTTTGTGTCCAATGCAACACTATATCTGTCATTGCCACAGTACATGGCTAATACATGTACACGCCTAAAACGGCACAGCTAAACGTTGAAAAGAACCACACAAATGTTATGAGTTAACCCAGCTGATTAGACCTATAGGCTTGGGTTGAAGGTAGGACGAGATTTGAGAAGTATCTATTAGTTCACAAATCATCATCCAACACTAAGGCCCAATCCCAATCTCCCCTCTAAACCCTAAACCCTCCCTAATTTAAGTGACGTTGCCTATAAGTGGTTGAGCGTGAGAGTCTGTGTGGTCTAAACGTCCACTTTTTATACCCACCGTGCGTTTGCTGGTTATCCTGTTTTGCCACATTGCAATGACCTGTTGGTAATTCCCTTCGGCTAAGTCGGCATCCAATGCTGATTTACCCTTAGTGTCAACTGGGATTGGGCGTCAATGTTTGCAATGAAAGGTGCAAATCATTCCACGCTAACAGGTGCAACAAGGACACTCAATTGGTGCACGGACTCGAGAAGTGGTCTAATCAGCAATATTAAGACCTGTGTTGGAAGCTTTCAAGTCTTCTTAGAACATTGGCTACAAATGAAGGAAACTAGAAGCCTTATATGGACTTTTAGGGGCTTTGGTTATGCAAATGACCATATCTCACAAACAGCTGTTATCCCAAAGCCTTGACATCCCAAGATGATTTGAGAACAAAAAGATTCTGCGACTTCTTTGGCTCCATTTCTTTTTTTATGAAAAAGTTTTAAAAAAAGTTAGTTAAAAAAAGTTTTAAAAAACTTTAAAATTTTGTCTTAATTCAACTTAGGAAGTTGAAAATCTCTGTGTTTCCTCTGTGCAGCAGGCCAGCTGCTGTTTGAGGACTTCTTGAGGACAGAATACAGTGAGGAGAACCTCTTGTTCTGGCTGGCGTGTGAGGACTACAAGACGATTACTAGTCCGGCAAAAATGACGGTGGCTGCCAAGAAGATCTACGCAGAGTTTGTCCAAGTTGATGCGCCTAAACAGGTATGGCTTTTGTTTAATGACACGTGAATGAAGTCAGATGTGTGTGACTTCAAATGAGCCTCAAGTACAAGCTGGCTTGTTTTCATCGTTATGTCTCCACAGTGTATTTCACTCTCAATATGAAATGCAATCATGAGCAATCATTGCTGCTTAACATTGTAAGTTCTCATAGTAAGATTCATTAATTGTGTTCCCTAAGTTGCTATTCGCTTGCTCTCCGCCAAACGTAACTTCTTTGAAACTCCCAGATAGACTTTTACTTTGCATGTGTGACATTACAGGATATCAGGAGCCTGCGATCAATGCTGCTGATAGAAATTCAGCGTGTATTCATTCATACACATTTTTCAACTTCAACACGCGGTTAACTTTCTCAAGTAATATAAAAGAACTCATGTGTGAAGTAAAAATTGTTTTTTTTAACACAGATAAACATTGACTGCGTGACAAGAGAGGAAATCAGGGAAAACCTCTCTCAGCCGGTGCAAAATTGTCTTGACGGGGCGCAGAGAGTGATATACAGTCTGATGGAAAACGACTGTTATCCGCGATTTCTGAAATCAGAAATGTACCAAGGTCTCCTGGAACAGGCTGAACAGCAATGAAAGCATCATGAGCGAAGGAGCCTGTCCGACACGTCTCTGAATGATTGATTCTGCTCTTCAGCCGACTTTCCTAAGCATCTCAGATTAAACACAAAAGGCTTCTCTGTCAGAGGAAGACCTGGATGGAGCTACGTAGCTGTCGAAATGAGGACTGACTGGCTTTAAAAGCCAAAAATGTAAATCCATTGGGGAGCTTTTAAAATCAGAATTTGTGTGGATTGTTTTACACTTTAAAAAAAAAGCCCTGCATTCCACTCTGGGTTTGTTTTGGAGCCTCTCCTCCGAAGATGGCAGACCCATTAAAAAAGTGCAATTAATCTGGAACTACTTTGTCTATTTGGGCTTTTTTTTTTCAGGATAAAAGGGAACCCCTGCGAGTCTTCAGATGTTTAATAATCAGTTAATATGTTACTGGTGAAGAAACGAATAAATATACCACACAATGTTTTGCCATATTTATGCTAAGCTAACCTCCTATTGGCTGCAGCGTCTTTGAGATAAACGCTGGCCAAGTTTATATTCACATTTAGCCAAGATGTCAAACTATCCCTTTAACCTCAGTTGTAAGCTGAATTTGCTCCCATGATAGTATTGATCAGCATCCAGTGACACATGTTTATGGCCTTTACACCGGAGGATTGACAAATAAGAGACGTGAAGATGTGAAATGCTGTATAAATTTGAGAAATTTGAAGGGACTTAAAAACCTTAAAGAATGACACAATAAAACAAATTAAGCTAGTCGAAAGTTGGACTGTGGTGGTCTAAGTGAATATGTCGCTTGACGTTCTTTGCTTTCATTCCTGAATCTTTTCTATGACTTTTCACGCACTCTTGAGCCACTCCGTCCAAGCAAGTCTGCAGAAAACCAACTTTGGCCATTCTGATTGGAGGTCCAGCATTATCTGATCGTATATCTGGGCCTGCTGGAAGTCAGCGAGGGCTTAGTACTAAGGATAGGAAGTGAGGGGTGGTCAAAAAGCTGCACGAGCAGAATAAAAGAATGTGGTGAGGCTGGAGGAAAAAGAACTGCTGGAAGGAGCAGACAAATAGTTACAAAGGAAGTGAGAGTATTAGAAGGGAGAAAAGGGGAAAGACTGAGTCTGTAATGACAAAAAAAGGATTTGAAGATGGTGGACAATGAGAAGAGAAGAAGAGCAGGGGTGAGGCAATTAGGAGGAGGAGGAGAGAGCGGAGTAAATTAAGTCAAACATTTGGGAGACTGGCTGGAAAGAACAGTGGGAAGAAAAAGAAGGATCGCTGTACAGCAAGGGGCTGGATGGATGGATGGAGGGAGGGAGGGATGGATGGATGGAGAGGGGCGAGTGAGGGGAGGGCACCCAAACAGCAAAGCCCGGACCGGTCGACATAATGTGAGCAGCAGAGGCTGAGATAATGCCCCAGGACTCGAGACCCAGGGAGATGCGAGTAGCACTTCTCAGTGGGTGGGAAATAAGGCAACACATTGTCTGTGGACTTCCACAAGCCGCTCTTTCTTCACGACTGGGGAGGAGAAAACTTTACACTGCATCAAGGCAGAAACTCCCAAAGATTAACTCCTCCTGTGGCAGACTTCAAGGGTTTTAAATCGGTCTCCAAAGATATAAGGACTGATGAAAGAGTATCTCTTTTTTTCACACTTATGATCTAAAGACCCAGCAGTGTTTCTCCTCCAGCTTACTGCCAGCCAGTATGCCGCAAGTGTTTTTGTGAGAAATAAGGGGGAAAGACCCTGCAACAGTAATGCATCGTTCCACAATGGATATTTACTGCTCTTAGCCACTATAAATGAATCACTGAAAATCTGTTATGGAGCTTTGGGTCAATTTAATGTCTTTTCCATGTAGACAAAAGGTGTGTACAATAGGGAAACAGGTGAGAAAAAAAACAAGCAACACAAACAATACAGGGTTCTGTATTTACTTTAGAATTTCATTGCAAGATTTGTGAGAATGAAATTGTCCCAGAACGTCACATTTTGAGAATAGACAAAATGACTGATGGAAGTTAACAGCATGCGTCCATCTTAAATGTTGAAAATGCAATTAATGAATCAATAACTGGTTAACTGTTGAAGTAATGTAGCAGGATTAACAGACATTTTCTGTATCAGGCTTTGCAAATATTAGGACTATTAGGAAGTATTAGGACATTTTGTGTGTGCTTTACAGCATGCCAAATCAAAAATATTATTAGGTGTACGAAACGAGCAATTACATGTTGTCTCCTTGGGTTTTTGGGGAATGAGTTTTTCTTAATGTTCAAGAGACTAATTATTAGTGAAAATAAATAGATGAAGCCGTATCTATAGGACCTGATACCTGACAGTGGCGCTAGGGGGTGCTTAGGCACTATCCCATTAATCTTACCGAGTAGGTAATGTCTGCCCCCCCCATATCTACTGCATATCACTTTGTTAAAGAATATGCAGCTCATAAGCATAATGATGTAAACCCATTACGCGTAATTTAGATAATGTGCTTTTGATCAAATATAACACAAATGAATGATGTCTTTGGGGCCTTGAGTGAGCTGCCACAAGTGGGTTGGATCATGTTTTGACAGCTCTTCTTTCTCAACCGGCCAAACTATAACGCGCAACTTACAGCACATGATTGTTGTGAATTTGTGCACACATGACCGCTAGATGGAGACAAATATCTGACCCAAGCTGTGGTTCAGTAAAAGTCTCATTTGGAAAATAGCTACTTTACGGTAGGTTTATGCATCCAAAAACTGGGTAAAGGTTTTTCATATTTGATAGAGCTTTTCATCCATTTTTTTCTGTTTAATGGCATATTTATCATAGAACAGACTTTGCTCGCAAACAGAGCGTGAAAGGAAGTATGACATTTAGGGACATCTTTCTGGGGACAGTGGAGTTTTCTCAGCTTCCCTCAGGCTTCATGTGCCTGGGATACCAAAAGCTGTTTCGCTTCCGCAGAGTATTCTGGTGAGACCCTTGCAACACCGACTCCGAACCCTGTCGGGCTGTGGGGACTGCGGTGATTCTCTGTCAGGTCAGCAATAAACCTCACAGAGAATGGACTTCACGTGAAAAAGGAAGAATGTGAAAGCACAGATTTGCGTATTAGAAGACCTGCTTTTTTGACAGCTTGTAAAACATTTACACTGCTACTGCTAATACATTTCTGCTTTTACATCACTGATTTTTTGCTTGAGATGCAGTTGCTGATTCTTGTAATGTAATATTTAAGACATTTAAAAAATGTAATAACAAAGGACATAAGAACACAATAGCTTTAATAAACGTCACAGCTATAAGATGGCGAAGGTCAACCAGAGCAAGCAACACTACAAACTTGAACTACTGAACCCCTTTATCACAACAAAATACATTTTAACACAGCCATCCCTGATCAAGTCTCGTCTGGGAGGAACAAAAACCTTGACGAGGACAAGTAGTCCGTCTGCTGCAAGCGGCACGTGCGTGCGCATGCGCGGACACATGCGCGCATGTGTTGGGGCGGAACTGCCTGCATGAAGGCGCGTGTCGGGACGCCCCCTTGGTAAAATGGTGGGGAAAACACAAAGTATATTATGTTTAAAGCCTCTTCCTGGCGATAAGCTTGTGTGTACCATGACCCTCTTTTTTTTTTTGCACTGCCACTCTTGACACACAGAGACAATCGGCAATGCCAATATCAGTTAAGTCTGTTCCCGGTTTGATACAAGCAAGCTTCAGAATAGACACTGGTGAGCTAATCTTCTTAATGAAGCCTGCCAGAATGTGATCACACTGCTTGTTTATCATTTGCAAACATGTAATGTGTTTTTGTACAGTGGATCTGAGCAGAAATCTACTAACTTGTCACACACAGTTAAATCTGTTGTCCTTCTTAAAGTGTCTTTGCTGCCTTGCAGCATGCTATTGCTTTTGTACACATTCATATCTCGCAAGGCAAACTTCCTGTCAATCTGCCTGAGCTTGTCTGATGAAATGTTTCATTATTTTGTAAGGCTAATGTCACAACAGATCTTCTGAAAACACACATCAGTTGGTGTTATTACTGTCAATGAGGGGGAATCATGGTGTGGTGAATGCACGTCAAAATCATACCAAACTGATTTCTTCACTACATTCTAAACATTAAAATATTTTGAATTCAATATTTTGCATTGAAATATATAAAATTCAGCTATGTAAATTATTAGTAACCAATGCAGATGTGTACTACTATTGTTAAGATTGTATGATATAATCGTCAGCCATCATTAAGAGGTCTGAAATGTTTCTCCATTCATAAATTAAGGAGTCAGTTTATACATTTTGCGTTACAAGCAACTTCCAATAAGTACATTCAACCATAAGATTACAAAATTACATTACGAATCAAGAAAGTACAATTAACTACTACCTAGTCCAGTTTTAGTAATTAAAATGTGTTTTTTCAGTTCACAGCGGAAGATGCATGGAGCGAAGTCTGGATGTTGGTGGGTGTTTAGCTTTCAGTGAGGCAGCGATGATCTGATATTCTGGATGTTTGGTTTGACAATGTTCCAGATGTAGACTGGACCGGTGTGTTCTCACAGTAAGCAGGTAGCAGTGTTTTGAAACGGATGCAGGCAGCCACCGGTGACCGGTGAAGGGGGCGGAGGAGCCAATAAAGACAGGTGATTTCGAAGTCATACAGTCATGCTATTTACACTTTCCGTCTTATTGAACCAGTGACAATTCAAGTGTTTTCATTCATGTGTCAAGTTTACCAGGGTGTCAGAAGATGAGTGTAGTACACACTACTGAGTGTAGTAGTGTTGAGGGAAGCTCTTTGCCGGAAAGGGTTACTTCCTCACTATCTGTACTGTGTGTACTGTCAGTAAACTGCCTGTTAAACACAAGCACTGATAGCCATCAACACCTCTGTGTCAACGACCATTCAAGAGGAAATGGGCCCATTCAGTGACGATAGCCGATGACTCAGCAATTCATCTTTTATGTAAGAGTATGTAAGATTAGTTCAGATTTTCTGGCTAAAAAAAGAATAATGTCAGCATATTTGAGAAGTCGTAAGACTAAGTGCAACCATGATTGATGGCCGACCTCTTTTAATATCCACCTTGACTGAGTTAATTCCATACTGGTCTTTGCCCCCCCCCCCTGTAGTTCCATGGCTCCCGCCTGTCTAAGGGCCGCACCCCTCAGTATGGAAACCACTGGGCTGGCGCTGTCATTTTTATCGTTGTGCTTATTGGATATAGGAGACCAGCTGGTCTAAAAGAGTGATTGGTAGATGTATGAGAAATAAGCTAAAAACTTTGTTACGAGTACAGCCTTCCTGTTTTCATAACCACTAAAAAACCCAAAGCAATTCTTTTTTTTTTTCGGTCTCACATTCGGGATGATGCCTCACTGTGAACATTTCATTTCTGTAAATATCTTCTGCTTTATTTTCAGCATCTATGGCAAATCTACACGAAGGTGGAGTGAAGTAAATTGTTTGAGACACGTAGCCCTGTCGATCTGAATCAGACCGTTAATACGCTGAATCATAGTCTCGCTTTGGTAATTGGCTGTTGGGTGAGTCCTGCCAGTAGGTGTGTGCAGTATGCTGTAAGCAAAGGCAACAGCGGCATATCCCCCAATAGATTCATCACAATGATGCTGTGAACAGCTTAGTTTTGCGTTCTCTGAACTTCGTCATGTTCCTGATGAGGGCACTGAAACACATCTACCTTTGTTAGGAAATGATTACCTTTACAATGAGTTAAATACCTGAACGTGTAAGGGACAGCTTCAAGATATGTATTGGTACCTCCAACTGGAGATATCCAAAGAATAGCCCCCCCGCCCTTTATTAACGCTGTGTTTTGTGTCCACCTCTGAGCTCGGTGCTCAGTGAGCTCAATCTTGTAAATGGTACAATCTCAAACTGGAATTTTACAGCTGTGAGTGAGAAGGCGCTGAAGTGGTCTGTATTCTCAAGCTGAGGAATTTCTATACGTGTACCAGCAGGCTCTGAGCGTCACAGCTCTCACACCTTCCCTGCAAGGTTGAAGGCAGGCAAGGGCCAGTTCTGTTTTAAACGCACCACGGCGCGCTTCTGTAACCGCTTTCAGGACATTTCCAAGGATGTTAAAATGCCAAAATGTCTGTTTTCAAAGACTCGTTTCTATAAAATTAAAGATATGTGGAAAACTGTGAAGCATCCCAGAAGGTAAGACCGATTGAGTAACGGTCCGAGCAAGCTGCACAGGCTTACTTTCTTCAGACTGTACATTGGTGTAAAAGTGTAACTTCATTTGTTTTGCAGAATTGGTATCGTTCATAATCAAAGCGTGAGTAAGAAGGACTTCCAGTTCTTCATTGGAGAACGAATAAATGATGACACATATCCTTCAAAACTCAGGTATTGTATGTGGCACTATAGATAGTATAGATATCTTCATGATCCGGCTATTCACTACGTTGAAAATGATTAAAAAAAATATCTCTTCATTACAGTTGGCAGACTGCTCATAAACTCGAACCGACTCTGGAAACAATGCTACATAATAAAAGTAACACATTACAAAATGCTTTGCTTGTTTTGAGATAAAATACCAAAAGAATTTACTGAACTACATTATTCTCTACATTGCAATTATGGGCACATCTATCATTGTGGACATTCTAATATTAAAACAGTGAATCATTTGTTATATTTTTCTCTTAACAGAATATTTAGCGGCATTCCGCAGCTTCCTAAGGACTGAATTTAGTGAAGAAAACATTGATTTCTGGTTCGCATGTGAAGATTTCAAGTCAACTGCTTCACCGGAAGACCGTAACTGGAAAGCACAGGAGATCTACCAGGAGTTCATCCAGCCTGCGGCCCCTCGAGAGGTCAGTGGTACCAGGGGGGACTATCTACTTAATGTTACACCTTTCACTGTCAGCATTGTTCACTGAGGTGAATATTAAATTAATAAAATTATTTTTTTATATACTACCTTTTAAAAACATGGTTTACAAAGTGCTCTACGAAGAAGCAAAGCGTAGTTCTACATAACATTGATACAAGCAAACATTTCAGAAAATTGAATTATTATGCAACAATCTATACTGGAAATGACTTTATGTATGTACAATGATCAAGAATTCAAGCAGCAGGTCCCAATTTAAAATCTAAAAATGAAATACAATATAAATGCAGTAAGGCTCTCAAATTTTGTCATACCTAATTGTCCACACCTTTAGGTATGGGGTATTTCCCTGCAAGCTTTTGTTTCTTTCATTTGTTGAATGAACCTATTATAATGTAAATGTGCCATTTATTCACCTCATTGACACAATAAATAATTGGTTAATTTATCAAACTCCTGGACTTTAATAGCACTTGTGTTGATGTGTGACCTTCTGCTCATTAAAACCAAATCCCACATAGTAATATTTTGAGGCGAAAAAGAAATATTGCGAAATGAAAACAATTATAAGCAGCACAGTCTCATGGCATTTATGTATTTTATTTAAAATGTATGAAACACAACGTGGTCGAAAGTTGTGCGTTCGTTGGTCTTTTTCGCCCGGTCCTGTTGTATGTCAATTTGTCTCAAAGGTATGTAGTCACGTAGCCTTTCGTGTGTATCAGGCAGTAGAATTGCATCCCAATTAACTTGGCATGGTTTTCGTCCTGGCCAAGATTAAACAGATAACAGATAACGTTTTTTAGACTATTTGAAGTTGTGCCATATTTCTGGGCTGGATTTTAGTTCACCTCAAGAGAACACCTCAAGGCCTCCTTTTTAAAAATGTTCCTTCCAGGTCTATTAATTGAGCTTGTAAGACCAATAACATTCTTAAATTAACAATACTTAAGCAATAAGGTACGAGAGGCTGTACTTTATTGTCCAATAATGTGGAGTGTACATTATTGAAGATAAAGTACTGCCTCAAGTACCTTATTGCCTTTATAATACGGTCACCAGCAAAATTATAAATAATAAGTAAATAGCTGCTTTTGAGCACAAAATAGTATTAGCCACCAAACGTTGTGTATCATATTTCAGTAGTCTACAGAAAAATAGTCCCCATACATGCGTGTAAACAGCATTGGGTCCATCTCATTCATTCATATCTCTCATGACGTCCACCTTAATTGTCAGCCTATTGCTCAATAATGTACCCCACGTGACTCACTCTCAACCAATCAGAACGCTGGATTTGATCTACCCGTATTATAAAATATGAATAAATCCTGCATATGCACACACCAACACCTACATACAACACCACTACATAAATCTGTCAATAACGACTGTTTTTGTAATTGTTTGAAATGTCATTCTTAAAGTGCAGCAGAGTTATGTGGGACACCGATGCCGCTGCATTCAACAAAATTCTGTCTTTTCTCTGTTTCTTTTCCAGATCAATGTTGATCACCACATTAAAGAGGAGATCAAGAGGTCTTTGGCGAAGCCGAGCCTCTCCTGCTTCGATGAGGCCCAGAAACATGTTTACTTGTTGATGGAAAGAGATTCTTACCCCAGATTCCTCCACTCGGATGCCTACCTGAGTCTGAAGTACAAATCCAAGACTCGTTGGTACATTTAAGTATCAAAACAGCTTCTCTAATCTCAACACTCAGAAGTTTGCATCAATTGTACGGGAGTATCTCTTTATTAAAGATAAAGTTTTCAAGAACATCAAGCGGGAAAAAGATAAAGGTAGTGTCGGCGGGGGGAAAAGGTATGTGTACGTAGGGAGGAAAGAATACTGTTGATATTTCAGTATTTTAATTGATTTGAGCAAGTTTTCAGTTGTTTGAAATGTGGTGTTGACGAAAAGTCTTGAGTTAAGGTGCAGAATAGTATGATACATGCTAAATAAATGGTTTCTGATATGTTGAATGAAAATTACCTGTTTTTTTTATGCGCACTTTACAAAGTCATGACTTCTTCAGCATCTTTTAAAACATGTTATTCGAGGAGTAGTTCTCACTCGACATTCATAATCATTCTTACTATTACTATTCCATTCTATCGGGAGTTTGATACAAAGATTTATAGTCATCCTACTATCTAAGTGGACCGGGTACAGGAATGCCAAGGACATAAAAAAGAACAGTTTCCACAGCTTACCCAGCAAGGAGATTCGTTCTTTGGTCACGTGCCTGTAATATCCTTTAATTAGGGTCACAGATGATTCAACACACCAGCAAAAGGGGTTTACCAAACTGGAAAAAAGTAACCTCGCGGTAACCCTTGATCTCACTCTGTTCTGTAAATGGCCTTATTCTTAAAAATTGTGCCTTAAAAAGGAGTACTGAGGCAGCTAATAATAACCCAGGAGGGCTTAAACGACAACACTGGAGTCATCAGACAACCTGATGCGTAACAGATCAGGATGAATGTGTTGCCTTGTTAGGGGAATAACCTCATCGCCCGCGGACAATGAGGGCAGAGAAACAAGGTGCTTTACTTTGAGAAACGAGGAGTAGACTAGATCTTGTCAGATATTGTTCAAATAAAAGTGGAGACAATAATTCGAGATTGATGTCTCATGAGTGAAGCTTGGTTTGTTTCTTCAAAGCAGCATGACCAGGTGTAATGAATGGCATGGCGCTAGTTTATATATTATTCACACAATCTGTCACTGTTTTCTCACAGCCGACACAGTTACCATGGCAGCGGAAAGGAAGTGAATCCTCTCAATAACAATGTGTCAAGAGAATCACACTTGGGGAACTTCACTGCTCGATCTGGATGCCACAGGCTTATGACGTTATCTTTGTTCCTTATAACACCTGTAACTATAGACACGCGTTAAAATGAAAAGGGGAAAGCTCTCTGTTCCAGCGCTCGTTGATTCAGCGTAACCGTCCAGTGCTAAGAACCGTGTTTGGGCAAAAGAGTGGGAGCGTTACGGGGCGGGAAGCAGAGCTAAAGAGCAGATTGTAACCAAATAGCCTGGGGCATCAGATGGTGAGCCGGCGCAGCTGGCAACAGGCTAAAAGACAGATGCACTCAGTCAGGTTCATGATATCATAGAACTCCTTTTTCATTACCGTCTAAATCATATTGCTTTCCTTTTCCTAATCTGTTATTATAGATTTAACAATGACAGAACCGTGGCTGGTAAAAGTACATTCATCTTATTGTTCCATCAAGTACCTCTTCAGCAAAAACTAAGACATTTATTTAGGGAAAATGGTAATAAATGTTTCTAATAATGTTGAGCAGATTAATGCATCTCACATGAAAAAGTCCATTTGTCCAATGGGAAAACATATGGTGTGACTCAGTCGTGTTCTAGCCAAAGCTCAGTGTGGAGCGAGGAAGCAAAGTTACATTTGCGAGTCTGTGACGCTCACCTTACCGTAGGACTTTTATACCTCTGCACCAAGACACAGGATATCTGGTGGAGAGGGGTTACGTGCTGCTCCTGAAAAGAAAAAAACTAACAGCACAGTTTTGAATCATGAAGCCTACAAAAGTATCAAGATGTCTGGATTAAAAACAGCCATTATGTATTTCCTACATAATATCATGAGACTCTCCCAACCCGCACAAATAGGAGTTTTACATTCATCTCAATGCTTTAGTTGCCCAATTTTCAGGCATTGGCCAAGGACAGACAAAGTGTGTGGGTGTGTGTTTGTACAGCGCTGCAGTGTGCTTGTTTGAGAGAGAGAGAGTGTATCACTACTGTGTGCAACGTTGGCTCCATGGTAGTTGTATTCTACGCATTCTGCTCTGCCTACATCCATCACTATAAAGCTAACTTTAATTTTCAACATGAAACTTTAATGGAAGAGAACTGTGTTTCTGGCTTTACAAATGTGTGATATGTAAATTAATGTCAGCATCAATTTACCACTCTGGACAATTTATTTGCCTTTGTGAAACTATTTTAGTGTGGAGGCGTGTCAGCTGGGTAGGATTCTGTCACTTTGTGTATTAAACCAAGTGTAACACTTTAAATGTCTGCAAGGAGAGTGTCAAAAAGTGTGTTTGTTCAAAACTGCGGTGATAATTTGCACGGCTTAAACCATAAATTCCCACAGCTCATTCTTCAGTTTCAATCTGCTGCTGCAGCCTACACTTCAAATGGCAGAAAAAAAAAGATGTCAGAGCCGAACTGATTCGAAGGAAACTTATCAAGACAAGGTTCAGTGCTACAAACGCAAATTTCAGCGAGCTCTGGTCAATCGCCGAGGAGCAGTTCTCACATCAAAACTCAACTTCTGGCCGAGTGCGGTTATTTCTCTTTAATCCTGTCTGATCCCAGTCTGACAGACTCAGACGTAAAGGCCTGTGGTCAGTCAAATGTCTGTGAGTCAGTGCTGATGTTGGCTTTGAGATCCATGTTCGTTATTTTAGAAGTTGACCTTATTGGCCAACCCTTCTCTTATGTCACGGTTTCACAAAACTTCTTAAATTGCCGCTTTTTGGCGAAGGACCATGTTGAATTGGCCATACCAAAATAAGCTTCCACGTCAATGTCAGGATTGACCACATGTCATTGCTTTTGAGGGGTTCAAGAGCTGTTTCAATAATTGGACGGTAATGTAATTCCCATAAATATGTCAATTGCAAACTAGAAATATCTAAAAATGATAATGCAAACAGATGTGCATGTTCCTTCCTCCATGTATGGTATTGATTTCTGCAGTTTTGACAGTAACTTTGTGGCTGAAACAACTGCGGTCGTGATGTAATTTTTTTAGAACTTCCTGCCGTCAAGTCATCTGTTGCAATCTCTTTTGTTATTTCCTCTTTTTCCGACATGACTGTGGCCTCGTGTTGCATGAATTCACACCAAGTTTCTGAATTCACATCCGAGAGATTAATAAACGTTGAAGCTCATTTTCCAAACAGACATTACGTCTGGCATTTGTTTTCAATGGACACTGGTTCGGTGGTTCATGGCAACCAAAACAAACAGTGTGTGAAGGTCGAAATTTGCCTATCACAATACAATGCTACTCCCATTTGCATCTGTTCTGCCCGACTAAAAATAACGTGAACACAGCATGCTCTGTCTCTGTTTGGTCCGTTTAGTCAGAAGGATCTGCAGGAAAAGAAGCAGAGAGACATAATAGGCAGCAAGACTAGAGGGGGGGGACGCAAATATGCAGTACAGTGTGAGCATGAGTGGTTTCTTGAAGTGAGGTAGGAGGAGAGGAGGGACAGGAGGGGGAGGAGGAAAAAGGGGTGCTTCCTCTTCAGCCCGGGCTAAGCTGTTGCTGTATCCTAGAAGCCCCGGTCCGTAGCAACAGGAAACCTTGGTATAAAAAGCCGAGTCGCAGGGGAAACCCTCCTAAGTGTCTCTCATCTGCAGCATGACCAGGACCGAGAGCCTGAGCGTGTGGACTTAACAAGACAATGCCCAGCCTAATCGACGAACCACCCAACGCGCAGCACTTCATCATGGACAGAGATGACAGGAAGAGAATGTGAGTGAACCGAGATGGAAGTTTCTAGTTTGTTTTTTCTCACTTTTTACTTTCAAATGAATTTGCGATGCTTGTTTTCATCTTGGTTCAGGCGCTAACCGGTTCAGAAACTAAAGCAGTTTACGGGGCATTACGTTATCTCCTGAAAATAGCAGAAGTTTAATAACTTCATCTAAATTTACTACACCACATGCTCAATTCTAATTACTAACAGGCCCAACGTGCTTTGACAGATCCACTGGAAACTAATCTAACGGCAGTAAATCCAATAGGGATGTATTGATGCATTTCTTATCTGTACACAGCGGAAAGAACTTTATGTGCCGACTGCAGTGCATGTTCTCCAACTCATCAAGCTCGGAGAGGTAAGGGAACTTATCAAGTGTTTTGCATACATTTCTGTTCTAAAATAGCCAGCACGCTTCCATCATTTCCATCTATGGCCTCATGAAAGGATTCAAATGAAGTAGAGTTTCCATGTTTGCTTTGGCACAGCACGCACACACACAAGCATCCATGGGTTGGCGTTTTTGGATTTTCAAAGCACATCTAACGCTTTCTCAATTCGACTTAGATTTTCTGCGTCCTTGCAGGCCTCACAGTTTACCCCGCTTTTTTTGTTTTTTTGCCCAAATTTGATTTTGGTTGAGTAATCTAACTTGCATTCTCTCCCAGCAGGCTAAGTTTAGAAGATACCCAACAATGGTCACAGTCACTGGAAAGGCTTCTCGAGTCTAAATGTAGGTTGCCTTTCCCCCGGAGTACGAGAATACCACTGGAACAGTAAATTGTGTTAGTCATATAAATATATATATCTTTTTTTTAAGCTGACCAAAAGTGTTGTCTGTAACTCACGCTGGGCTATGTTTTTTGTGCTTTCCTCAGATGGGTTGGCCACTTTTCGCAACTTTCTGAAATCTGAATACAGCGATGAGAATATTGAGTTCTGGCTCACCTGTGAGGACTACAAGAAGATTAAGTCTTCATTCAGAATGTCTTCAAGAGCCAAGAAGATTTATGAGCAGTTTATCAAAGCAGAATCTCCTAAAGAGGTAAATCCAACTTTGCGCATTCCTGCGTCGACCCCCTCGCATTCAGGCGCTTTATATCACATCACGTCCTAAAGTGCCAGTCGACACGTTGAGAAAATAAAAAATCGTTCCTAACTGTCATTCCAGATCAACATTGACTATCAAACCCGAGAGCAGATCAAACGAAACGTAAAGACTCCCACCGTGCACAGCTTCGACGACGCTCAGAAGATCGTTTACGGGCTGATGGAAAGAGACTCGTACCCGCGGTTCCTCCGCTCAGACATTTATAGAACTCTACTGGAAAACCTCGCAGCCGACGCCACAAAGGGATGAAAGCGCCACCGAGGGAAGAGAGAGAGAGAAAGACAGAGAAAAAGGACATGAAACCCATAACTGGAATGTTTGAGCTCCTTCAGGAGGAAAGGCCCAGTAACAAAGGAGGAGCCGCTGCGCGCCACACCGACACCTACGGAGGCCTTGCACCTCGCCACCGGCGGCACCGGGTCCAGCAGCAGAACCCGTGCCTCGGTCCCGCCCTGGGACGATGGACACACTGAGCACGTCACACCTGAGGACTGGGTAACGAGGAGAAGAACAAACATGACCGGCCCTCATGGCGGTGAACCTGCAGTGTGTGTTTGCACTGGGTGATGAGTCTTGTTGACAAATTGATCGCTTTTTGACAGTGAGTGAATCCGTGAGGGGACCATCGTGCGCCAACAAAGCATGCAGCCGACCTCCTTTTTTTGCAGACGTGCTTCCTGTACAGAGTCAGAGGATGTAAAATGCAACAGTCACATTCGATTAGCTCTGTGTGTGTGTGTGTGTGTGTGTGTGTGTGTGTGTGTGTCTGACAGGGTGAAGGTGAGTATTTAGTTATAGCTTTTAACTTCCACATAGATTACAAAGAATTTAGCCAATTATCTAATGACAGCACTGGGGAAGACAAAGAAATCCGATGCAGATCGGTCACTAATCCCCAATTAGGAGTCATTGGTGATATATTTCAGAAGGCCACTTGATTGTGCAAGAAGCACTCTGGAACACTTCAAATGGAGATTCTTTGTTGTTTTAAAAATATCTCTCTGATTGGACCGATGTCTTGAGATTTAAGCTGCCTGTTGGGGTATTTGGTGTAATATTAAATATATGTCTGATAAGTAGGTGGTGTTCCAAAATACACATTTAATCTTATCAGAACATACCATAATCATGCATATTTCACCACAGATACGTAATAGTTCCCTTATATGGCCGGTATTCTGTGATCATATGTGAAGAAAAAAGGGGAGGGCATGGAGTTTTCATTGGTCAGCACACAACTACTGGCCAGTCTCTCATTCCAAACAAACTTCTTCCATTACTGCAAGTTTCAAGAGTTGGTATTTTGTTTGATAAACAATTTTAGTGGAATTATTCACCTTGCATGATGGGATATTAAACACCTTTGCCTTATTGTTGCTTTCCAAAGCATGTTGTTTGAATGTATTCCAAAGGGTGAATTGTTTAGTTACTTGAAAGGTTAGTAGTGAATTATTTATTATTAGTCATCACCATTTGAGTACAAAGTGGTTTGCTGTGTTGAAGTGATTGTTAAAATATTAGTCATTTGAGCGACATTAAATTATTTGAATTGCCCACTTGAAATAAATTGAGACTTTTTTAGTCACACACCACTGCACACGCACACACGCACGCACACACACACACACGCACACATTTGAGTCTTCGATCTCTCATTTTTCACATTACGGCTTTTAGCAAATTTAGTCAAATGGGCTGTTTAAAGAATACTGCAACTCCCTTCTATTGAAATAGATCTTTAAACATTATATCACAAAGTATCTGGCATGTTTACATAATGCTTGTCTGCTGTGTGTTTAAAGCAGAACTCCACCACATAAGCATGGAAACCTAAAGGCTGTGCCAAGTTCTGGTTTGGTATTTCCATTGTTGTCCAGAAGCAACTACAGCGCAGTTGTTGTCAAGACGTAAAACTCTGTCCTATGGAATGAAAAAGTATACAGTACAACTATTTATTTATGTATTTATTACATCTCTCATGTCTATATTTTTTTATTATTTTACAAACAAACAAAATAGTAATTTTGTACTTAATACCTAAAATACTTTCTCTTTATGTAAGTAGGTGCACTGTAACATTACTAGCCACGGTGCGCTGAAGGAGAAGTAAGTAGGCTACTCCCTTGTTAAGTTACTTGTTCACCTGCTTACTTTTGTATTTATTTACTAATAACCCTCGATTTGAATTCATTTTCCTGTGCACAACTTGATTAACAGTCATTTAAATTAGGCTCTTTACCTGTGTACAATTGGTTTTAATTCAATTTTTTGCTTTTATAGCATATTTTCTTTCTTTTCTTTCTTGATACAAAGCCAAAGGTTTATGGGCTGTTGAGTACCATTATTAAAAAAAAAATACACCTTTACACTCAAAATTAAAGGAATACTTCGAAAACATGTCAGATCTTAATGCGAAAAATCCTTCGATGGAAATAACAGTTTCAGCCTGTAGAGGGCTTCATTTTATAGACACCACAAAAATCAAAGTGAAAAATTTCTGCATCTCAAAATGCTTATTTATATCTTTTTAGTTTTTAATTAAAACATGCTCGTATGCACGCTTCACAACGTGGCGGCATGCTCCTAAGGAGGCGACGGATGGTGTCTTGCGGGACGTCCTCCAAGGTCTGTCCAAGGGCATCGGTGAGCTCCTGTAAAGTCTGAGCAGTAACCTGGGGGCGTCTGATGGGCCAGAACATCATGGAGGTGTTCTATCATGAGGGACATTCAATATGAATTCCCTCATCCTCCAGGTACTGTCTGCGTACTCTTGGCACATGAGGGCCGGCCCGGGCATCGGGAGGAACCCAGGACCTGAAACCTGAACCACGGGTAGCACCTGATAGCAGTCAGACTGCCGCCCTCTAGCCTGCAGAGGTCTGTGCGTCCCTCCGTGGATTTTCCTCCCCAGACCTTATCAGACCTCGGCTTCTCCAGACCCCGTCACGTCTATCACAGGTAATCGGGGTGAACCTGCTCTCATCTGTGAAACAGGGCGCCAGTCTGGTTTTTCTTGTAGCAAATGCCAACAGAGCTCCACGGTGCCGGGCAGTGAGCACAGGGGAGCACAGGGCTCACCGCAGGACGTCCCGGCATGAGGCCACCCTGATGAACTCTGTTTCTGATTGTTTGGGCAGAGACGACATAAACAGCAGTGGCCTGCTGGAGGTCATTCTGTAGGGCAGAGCTCAACTTGTTACCAGTCAAAGGGATCAAGCGGGAGAAACCTCAATTGGCCTCCATAAAAAGCCCTGTTTCGGGGGTCGTCTCAGTGTTGCACCTCTAGCGCGCCTGTTGTTTATTCAATCAACACCAATGAAGTTGAAATTGATTAACAACCCCGTCTGCTACTTGCCCGACCAGACAATTATCAGAGAGGTGCAACTGAATTCATGCCAAACCCTGATAAAATACTGTTGCTTTAATTTTTCTAAGCACTGTCTACAGAACATAATAAATCAAGTTGTGGTCTTTTAATAGCTTTGCTTAGTTACACTGACATTCTGTGACTGTTACAGAGTCCAAACCTCAATGCTCTGCTCTACCAAATTGTGAGAAAACCGAAAACCCAGAAAAACATATTTACAATATTTTAAATACATAAATATAATTTATTTTAATACATTGATTTGAGGGGTATTTTGTAAACAAACACATTTTGATTATCCTCAAATTAGTGCGTAAGTGGTATGTGTTGCTTTACGAACAGGAAGGCCTAGAATTGCCAGAGTCGTCGTTAACAGAGCAAGTTTCTCTGAAATGTAGCCACACAAAATAAGTTAATACTGCACTATTTTGCAGAAGTAAAGCAAATAAAAGTTATTGGTTTGTTTCGGGCAGATATTAGCCATTAACCATTGCCATCGGTAGGAATTTTTCATTAATTGATTCCACGAGGTTTCAACTTGACCTAATTATGTGTTTATGCCTCACATATGGCTGTCAAGTTAAGCCTAAAGCCTAGTTTATAGTTCTGCGTTTTCAGAGAAACGCGAGGACACGCAAGACCCCCTTGCTAAGGTCTTGCGTGCCCCTTGCGTGCCTTTTTACCCCTTCTTGCGTGCATCGACCCATTTTTCTACACCATAAATCAAAACGAGTCCATCGACACGACTGCGCGAAAAGACACAGCCGCAGTTGCAGAAGTATGCCAGCGCCTTAAATGTCGAACAACTTGTTTTGTACTGTTTCCCTGTAATTTCGCGGCCTAAATCTGGTGGCCTAATTCTACAAAACGGATCAGCCAGTCTTCTTTTGTTGGGCGTTGTAGGTTCTTTTGATGTCAACTTCAGTTAATGGGAACGTTGTGAGCCGACCTATCCCATACACGCCTTCACAGGGTTGCATTTAATTGGGGGTAATTTAGCCCCACCGTGCATTTCATGCTAAAACTAGAACTGGCAGGAGATTTAGTTCTCCATAAAAAGTTGCTGCCAAAAGTTCAATGAAACTTTTAAAAAGTGAGTGACGATAGAAAGTGATTAACCGCTAGCTGCTTAGATGTGATAAGCTGGTTTGGATCCATATCGGCTTCACAAATTTCTTCCATCAATCTAGTGGCATATAGTTTTGAAACCCACCATCATGTACATTTTTAAACACGTCATTATACAAGACACATAATGGGTAACTTCATAATTAAGTTTTCCCATAAATCAGTTGTTCAGGACTCCCTGGAAAGGGCCGCTGCTTGGCTGGAGAATCTTGCGGTCATATCGTCGGCCATTCGAGAGAGGACAGGGAAATTAAACCTTTCAATCGATCATCTTTCCATTTATTTTCAAAAGGTACCCTAATCTAATTTACAGTAACTGGAGCCGCTGATGGTTATGTATTAGTGGCTTTGCTAATCTATATTTCAACTTGCTGGAGCCACCAGGAGGGAAGCCGATTTGATAGCGCTGAGAGTGTCTTGAGCCAAATGAGCGACTGTCATCAGCACATGATGAATGACTTGTGAAAGGGAATACCTGCCACCTTAGGCCCTTACTTAGATCTGCTTAATTATAACCCACACAGTGACAGACCGCCCGCAGTACTTATTCATCATGTCTTTTAATTGAAAGAAAAAACATATCCATTTAAACGTCTACATGAAGCCTGAAGAAATGCATGAACTCAATCATTAATTAAAGCTTCCAGCAGCGCTGAAAAGGCCCTTGAACGTTTGTGCACGTTTAGGGTGATGGCGGGACACAGGCTTGTGACCAGCAGCGTCTGTGATGACTGTGTATTGTTTAACCGAAGAGAGGGAATAAAAGAATTGGGATGTTAGGTCTGATTAGAAATAGGGCTTTTTGCCCTCCTTTTGTGTCTTTGGTCACAAATAGCTTCTTCAGTTTAATTTGGTTGCAAACTGTAACCTGCCTGCTAGATTCAGCCGCATCCCTCACAGCTTGCAGCTTTAAAAGACAAATGTGAGTTTGGTATCAATCTTCTCGTGTAAATCTCTACATGAAAACTAATAAATGGATTTTCCAAAATGTCGAGCCATTTCCTTAACCACATTAAAATTAAAAGATAAACATATAACTTTGCTGTTAGGGATGCTGCACTAAAAGTCTATCGTGCCTTCATCTGGTGAAGACTTGTATATCTGTGGGTTTTTTACATTTCAGGCCTGACTGAAGGCTTATTGTATTAACTGAGGGAATGTTTTCTAGGTTTATTGGTATTTAATTTCATGAGTGTCACTTTAACTGGGTTTGGCCGGCCCCACAGCAATTTTAACATCCTCTTGTATTTTGTTTGCTGTTTGCGTGTGATCAGTCCTTTTGTTATTCACTGACAAAATATCCTTTTATAAAGTTTATCACTGTCCATATCATTTTTTGTAGGATCAATTATTGAAATAAAAAAGCAAATTAATATATAACAATGTGTCATATTTATGTAAACTGACCACATCACCTGCCTGCTGTACAACCAAACCACCCAAACATTAAATTAGTCACTGTGGAGGTGTGTTGCCATCCGAGGACAGAAGAAGAAATACACGGCTCGTGTCTTAATCTGCCCAACACAGGATAGCAAGGGCACTGTCGAGACAGCGCTTTCACCACTGGGGGAAGTGAAAGGAGGCTGGGAGAAAAACTGTCAGTGTTGTAACACCATTTGATATTAAAAAAATGAATATACTGTAGGTCCGTTGAAAAACTTCCAAACAACTTTAGAAGGACATTGGCCTTGTTTGTTTTGTGTGATCCGGAGTGGGTTTCCTCAATAATTAGTTTTATTTGACTTCCTCTTGCTTGATAAAATGAATTACCATACATTCACTATTTTTAAAAATCCCCAACAACATCAGAATGTTTTAAGACAACTTCAGGTGCTTCAGAGAAACCTCCTTGGCACACGGTACAGGAATGAAAAGCAGCTCTCTGGTTGAGGTTTTATCCAATGTTGAGTTGAACTTTAATCGTCAGTCACAAACAGCCAAATGGGAAAGCCAATTTCAGTTACCATCCATTGCTTGTCTCTAATGTGTTTTCACTCTGTAATTGTTTTGGGCTGAGTGCATGTGCATCCGCCATGGTGTTATTTTCTGCTGTCTGTAGTACACACACACACACACAACGTGCACACACCCAAACCGTGGTTGCAGTCCTTTAGAACCAGTCTTCCATGCTGGTGGACTCGCTTGACATCCATGTTTACCTTTTTACTTTAAGCATTTTTTTTGTGGTGATAATAAAATGTACAATCCCAAAGTGTGCGAACCCGGTGCCGGGAATCACCGTCTGCGTACGGCCCCTGTGGACAGGCCGGGTGCCTCAGTGGAAACTTGCCTCTGCTCTTCGTCCACTTCTAAACAGACGGCTGCTTACACACAGTCAGCCTGCACATCATAATAAACACACAGGGCCGAATGCCGTGTTTTCGCCCGGATGAGCTCCGTACTGGTGCGACAGAGGGATAGGGGGGCCGGTGATGATCACGACACGACACTCTATGTGACGTACATGCATTATGGCACTAATAATCTAGAACAAATTGTGATAATGCTTTTCACGCGTTTGTCCTGTGCCTCTATGGGAATGCCCTTTTAGTGATTCTGGGATGTGATGTCAATGTCAAACTACACTGTTACTGGAATATGAACTTTGTACAGTGCTATGAAATGACTGTGATATGCGCTTCGCTCAACCAGCCAGAGCATGCATTCATCATGTGCCGGCATGTCTTAGCTGTCTTGCACTTCTCTCACTGAAATGCTGCTAATTAACCGATCACAACAAAGACTGTATGCATTTCTTCTACTCACCATGTGGAAACATTGCACCTGTAATTAAACGCCATTGCAAAGTGAAAAGGATGTGGGTGTCTCATTTACTTGGCACAAAAAAGACATGCAGGTTTCGGCTTAGACATAATGATACATTTCATTCATTTAAAACCCTGCTACAGTTGTGGTCAAAAGTTTACATACACTTCTTATGACTTTATTATGGTTAACAGAAAAAGTGGCAAAATCTGTATATCTGTAACAAACGCAGCTCTATGCATCCCTTAAGGGCTGGAAAAACTGGCCTTCGTTTTTCCTGCCAGGAGAAGGGCTGGAAGCCCTTACTTTGTGAAACCTCCCTACACATGCATTTGCACATAGTAAGTGTCTTTTGGTGCATGATGGTTGTCTTCTAACTGTGCACACTAAAAATCCACGTCAGATCCTAGAACAAGCAGGAGAAGAAGGCTGAACAGCCGGCAGGTGAAGCTATCCAACAACCAAAATAAGAGTGAATATTGGACATTTGTCACTTTGATGAAAAGTTGAATGTTGCTTTTTGTTTCCGTAGGACAAAACATTGTATTACGTATTCATGCGTATTTTCAGCTTGTTATTAAAGTGATCTGACGCCCTCCTCAAGTGATCAAAACCCGCTGCTTTACAGCTGAAAGACTTTCACATGTCGACGGTGCAGCCGAGTTAGAACTGGTTGACAGCTTAGAAGTCTGGGTCACATGAAAGCACCTCTCCACCGCCGCTCAGCGACTGGAACATTTCTTACGCTGAGTCACAGGTGTACTTTGATATCCTGACACTTTGTCACTATGTCTTCTGATAACCTGGTGCCAACGCCGCTCCCTCTAATCTCCTCGTCTAGGGTTGGATCTATCGTGGACCTTAATAATATCTCACGATCGTGCCTGTGTTTGTTGATGGCGGATCTATTCTCCCAGCAGCCCCCTAAAAACTACAAAGCTTTTTTTCCACCAGATCGAACTGTAGGCTCTAACTCTTTGCTAAAAACGGTTAATTCCTTGACTGAGGCTTTGCCGACTGACTGATCAACAGGTTCGAGGTATTGGGTTACGCTCTCTAAAACAAAGTCATTGAGGTGCTGTTGAGATTAACATCTCGACCAAATTTAAAGATCTTTTTGTCCCAGAAATCACAAGTGAACTAAATACCAAGAAAGAACATTGAGCGTTTTAAACATACTGAGATCATGAGAGGATTGTGAAATAGTACATTTAACCCTGCCCACATTTTTCCCCAGTTGCCCATGGAGGTAAGAGGAAATTGCATCATCATATTTTTACAAACCTGGCACATGACGTCATCATATCCACACCCTGTGTGAGTAATTCATTGAACACTGTCCACGTTGTTGCAAGGGCAGGCTGTCGCTCACATGCTGGCTTTGTTTGGTGCATGTTTGTTTTTTGTTCTTTTCATTGCAGAGAATACTGTTTTCAAATCCTAAAATATGAGGAAAGTAAAAGCTTTTCGCTGTTCAATGCTTAGAGAACTGTTGATAGATTCAAAACAGAGCCGCTTCAATTTTACAAAATGCTCTTAATATGTAAAAGACAAAAAAAAAAAACCCAGAGGAAATAGAAAGAGGTCCCATTACCAGCTGCCTATACCTTCATTTTAGTAACAAGGACATTGTGTCTGCAACATACGTCACACTGTGACCTTTCAAAAAAATGTCAAGCCCGCAGGGTACCTACGGAAGTAATGCTGTTTAGTAACATCCTTCCAATGCCTCATGTGCTGAGAGTCCTACCAGGGAGAGCTGCTGTTGACACAGCGAGAGCCAATGACGTTAAGGCCGACCCCTCGCCGGCACAACCCACAACTTGGTCGGAGGGAGAAACTATAAAGTTCCCTGAAAAGTCAAGAGGGAGAAGGAGAGGAGATTGCAGCATGAGAGAAGAGAGCCGTACTTGTGTGTCATTCCAAAACATGGCGTTGACTGGCTGTACGACGCCAAAGGAGGCGCCCACAGAGATGAAGTAAGTTCCTATCATCTATCGATGAGCAGGATGCGGGTTCGTTATGAGGTTTAAAAAAGATTTTGCTTAGAATTGCAATAAAAGAGTAATGACTGATGGGTTTTTTTTTTTCAAAGGAGGAAAAACTGGAGGAACAGAATTGGATTTCTTTTGAAGACTCACACTTCCAAGTCATTATTACATCTGAAGAAACGATCTTACAGGTAAGACCTCTTTATTTTGAGGATGAGGTCACATAAATCTGCAACTGTTTGTGCTTCGTATTTCTACAATATTTTATAATATAATCTATAGCCTATTGACTTGTAATATTTTATTTCATTTTACTTTATTTGTTGTCCTTGCACAGCCTACCTATTATGAACACTTTATCTAATGTATCTAATGTTAATTTATTTGCATTTACGTTATTGTTTTAGTACTAAATAAACCCAACCATATCATAATGATTTAAATCTAAATAAAAAACATAATTGTAGCATTTACAAACTGTATAGTAAATTAATGGTAACTTTCTAGATGAATATCTAATTCATGCAATAAATTCAATGAAAAAGAGGTGTTCCTCTTGAGTTCTACTCTAATGCGTGATGTGTCTTCTCCCTTCAGGCCGACGGCTGATGACGTGCAGCAATGGGCGCAGTCGTTTGACAAACTCCTCGGCCATGAATGTAACTATCATTCACTGCATTACACAAGTGTCTCAAAGGTCGCACGGTTACTGTGTGCTAAATGAAAGCACTTTATTGGTTTATATAAAAGGAACCCGTAATGGCTTTTCACTTACTTTGCTTTACATTAATGAGCAAACAAAGTCCCTGGGCTTGTTTTACCCGCCGTGTCTTTAATGCTTCTTCTCCCCCTCCCCCTCTCCCTTCCACAGACGGGAAAAGGGTGTTTTGGGCCTTTCTGAAGACCGAGTTCTGCGAGGAGAACATTGAGTTTTGGACAGCCTGCGAGGATTTCAGGAACGTCACGTCGTCCAAGGCGCTGGCGTCCAAGGCCAACAGCATTTACGAGGAGTTCATCAGCAGTGAAGCTCCCAAAGAGGTAACCGCTGCCTTCACAGCATCGCCCGTTAATCAATGTAAAGCTGGCGGATTGATTTGATCACATTCTTTGTACTTCAAGTTGTCCAAACACAAAGGGTATCCTTCATTCAAATTCAAAGGCTCATGATGGGCTTTTTCTTTGGTTACAGATAAACCTGGATTTCCACACAAAAAATACCATCGTCCAGAACCTCCGTGAGCCCACAGTGACCAGCTTCCTGGCAGCTGAGAAGAAAGTCTACAGCCTGATGGAGAACGACTCCTACCCGAGATTCATTAACTCCAAGCTCTACAAAGAAATGTGTGCCGCTGCCAGAGGGGAGGGCAGGCGCGTCGCGTCCTAGTCCAACTGGACACCCGCTCCTCCAGTCATTTGTTTACCACTGTGACAATGTGACCGGCCCGCTGATGGTACCGCCTTGGGATAATAATCCCAAATGCAAATCCTCAGCATAAACAACGCCGTAAAAATGCAGATAAGCATTTATTTATTTTTTCAGTGCTGAGAGCTGCGCAGGACGCGACCTGCTGATGAGGCACTGCGCGCAGATTTTCTTCCACCTTCGATTATTGTTACATTTTATATCTCGCTGTTGGAATTGAGGGCAGTGACGTGTTCCAGAAGAGAGTGTTGAAGCACAACTGTATGAGGACCCGTGATCACTGTCGAAACACTTTACTCTTTAACCGACGAAGCGTTTTGAATGTATTTATACGCTGACATCCACTTGAAGTCGTGCGTGAGCCTGGCTTTCACTGCCATGTTGCTCTTCTGGATTTGTTTGGATCTGTTTGCACAAAAAGTACAATTCTAACTTATAATAATAATACGTTGTGTATTTTACAGTGTATTTTCCATGACATAATGTGAAAATGTTGTGTTGTGAATATTGCTTGTGTTATATGTGAATTTAAGAGGCCAGGCAGCTGGACTGCTCAAGAAATAAAATATTTTTCAATTCCAAAATGCCTTTTTGTTGCATTCAATTCTGAATGAAATGCCAACATTTTAAATATCTTCAAGCATGGAAGATAATTCTCGCCATTTGAGAGCAGTGGCAAGCTTGGGGATTTTAAAGTTTCACCCACATTAAGGCTCTGGTTTTCTGGTGAAATGTCTACTTTACTGCTCAATACTAAACTGGTACTTTACTTAAAACCTGCATTAACAGATGTTGTTTTTTCCCCACTTGGCCGCAGTGGATCCAGTAAAACCCCCAAATTGGGATATATGCACCTTCAACATTGATGTTTGTAGTTAAACAGTTGCGTATTCGCGCAACGGCCAGATATGGCACAACATTAGCATCCCGTTTGTTGGCCACCTGGCAAAGCCACGTCCAATATTGCTCTCCAGCAATAAAACGACCCAAACATGGCTGCTGAACCAGCCGCTCTAACACGCTGTACAATGTAACTAAAGTACCGACTGAATACGAACCAATAAAAAGCCTGATTCCTTGTAAAGGACAATTATGTGTCACACTGTCATCACACATCTTGTTTGTTGATAAAGTGAAGTCATGTTTTTGTCTTGAATACCAAAACTTTAAATAGTTTAATTTGCTTGCCGTGCGCTTTAACCATTTGGTTTTACTAAGGTCAGACACGTCCCGATATAGATGTGGGAGGGGGACAACAACAAGAGCAACATTCCTCTTTTAGCAGTGAGCACCTTCGCAGACAGCAGACAGAACCGGATGCACGGGCGGCCCTCAGGTTAAAGGAGACGATTTGGGACCACACATGACATGTGAGGAAAGATGTTTGTGACTTACAAACGAACAATAATGACCCCAAAATGCTAATCGTCGCGGCTCTCCAGTCTGTGAGCGCCTTATAAGCGGCATTATATGGAGTGCGCTTATATTTCGCATAGCGAGGCGTGAAGCCCACAGGATTGAGACTACTGACCTCGGCGACCCCTGGACTTTTCTCCCAACACCACCATAAGGTTGACGTTTGTGGTTTGACTTGAAATGTCTCAATAGTCATTGTATGGGATGAAATGAAGTCTCCGCAGAATTAACCTTAGTAACATTTCCCTTAGAACCACAATCACATCGAAATGTCTTTAACTACTTTGGTTTATGACCAAATAACTGCATCACCATTAACCTCATTAACGGCCTCAGCTGTACTTCGTGTTTGTTGCTAATTAGCACGTTTTAGCTTTAAAACATGGTAAACCATAAAGACGACGATCATGGTAATCAATAGCACCGTCTTGGTGTCAGCATGAATTCCCCCTTAGCGAAGCCCACAAAACCTCACGTCTCACCTAAACTAGACGGAGAGCATGGTTGGAATTGAGCCAATGACCTTCCTGCTGTGAGAAAACAGTCGTGGTAAAGGAAAAAGTGAATCATTTTGATAGACTGATAAATGAATGCATTATTGTCGACTGTGTTGAGGAACTGCTGCTTCAATGAGCCCGTAGTTGTTGTTGTGACAACAATCTGTACAAAAACTACCCGTGACCTTCAAAGTACGCACATGCAGAGCACATTCCAGCAAGCAGGCTATTTTTAAGACTGAATTCTTGGTTGTTTGTGTTGCTCCAATGAGGCGGCGGCGTTATTCATGATCACCCTGCAGAACTAGAACTGTCACCATGAGTACGTTTTGTTCGCTCCGCCACGAGCCACTAAGTCGGACACGTTCTGTTCTCTCGATCTCAAGGATGGTAGTAAAACCTGTGTTTCCATTAGTTGCTATGAAGGATCTTGGCAACAGATCAGAACCAAAGTACTTAAGGTGTGTATGTAAACAGACGAGCCAAAAATAGAAAAGCACCACGCTCTACTTCTCTACGCCGGTGACCTGACTGCGGATTCTCAGATGAGTGTCTGAAGTCAGCAGCGGTGGTTCCTTTGTGCGAAAGAACAACATTGTCCCAGTGGAAGCCATCCAAAAACAACAGTAGTCATTTCTCAATGACGCACAGTCTTTGTGGGCTCTCGTCAGGTTAAATGGTTCGTAGCGGGTTCGATCGCTACATCGTTTTGTTTTAAATGTTTCACTTTGGTAATGTACTCTAAGTGTTAGCTCTGTTTTTCCTGTTTTACCAGCAGGTGGGGGCAAAGCTCTATCACTTAAGTGCGATTGCAGCAGGGATTCTTCTGTTGGAGGAATTTAGAAAGAAAGAAATCTGCAACGGAGATCAAAACGTGAAAAAATGTAAATTCTTTAAATCCATCTTGGAATTTGGTACATTTAAAACACAAATTCCCAACCATGTAGACATTTTATTATGAAAATAAGACAGAACATAATTTGAGCACATCATTCCTTCTATCATGCACTAGAGCTGATGGACACACATGACAGTCTCTCTGCTGCAGTGCTGTTCTTCATGTCCGGATGGTTCACCGCCTGCCCTCCGTGGTCAGTGACGTGAATATGACCGGCGATGAACAGGATCTGCAAGTGGCTCAGTGATGAAAGGGTGACTGCTGCTCTGGATGTGTGTGATTAGAGGCTGCTCTTTTGGAAGTGTGTTGTCGTAGTTCACTTGGCCTCCTGGGCTTTTTTGGCACTCTGTTTCTCCTTTGCCTGGCGAGAAATTAAATGTTTCTTTTAATTGTGATTACTTGATTGATTAAAAACACACCTAAAAACATTGCATGAACTAAATTTTCATTAATGTCTTATTCATGAACTACGCATGGCTCGCTGATGAGACGTGTAGGTTTGCCCTCTAGTGGACAGAATAAACACTGCAGCTGAAATGCCATGACAATCAGGAAGACTGTCAGTTTGGACCAAAATCATCCATTATTTAGCTGTGGGTGTCGCTTGAAATGGCAAGATATCCCATTAAACAAAGTATGTTGAAGAAAGGCATCTGAAAGAAAAGCAAATACCTTCTCCACCAAAGGTATTAACTGTTGATACTCTGCCAGCGTCTTCAGCAGCTCCATGATGAAAGGAAGGTAGTTGTGCTTTCGCCGAATGTTTTCAATCTGTGAGAAAACAGCATGAATCCCACAAGTTTAGGGAAGCTGGGCGCGGCTGGAATTGAAAAGGCCGTAACACTGAGGTGACTGCAGTAAACACATTCAGAATGTGCTCATGGTCATTCAGCAGTTCTTTTTTCTACAGAGGAAAGAAAAAACCCGTGGGCTATTTTCTCCGACGTTCTAGAAACCCACCTTATATCTTTTAAGCTTCTGATTTTCCTCTTCAATAAGGAGCTGGTACTTGGCAATCTCGGACTGGATGGAGCTAAGAAACGTGCTGCTCTGGTCTGTGTCCATCGGCTCGTCCTGGGAACACAAGGGAAAAAAACTTCAGCGGGTCATAATTGCAACATTGATCACTGTTGGAGGAGTTCCACCTGCGCAAGGCTTGCTTCAAGCTATTACACGGACTCGTGAACAGCGTGACGGTCAGCTGGGTTAGGTAGGGGGAAACACTGCCTATTCAGTTGGATTGGTAAAACACAAGGCTTTCCCCGTGTTGAAATCTACGCCTTGTGTTTGCTGACCTCCGGTGGTGCTTCAGCTTACTGCAGTAGTGCTGATGTGCAGTCAGTACACCTCGGCACCACCGCTGACCGTAGGTGTGGTCGGTTACGGGAGCAAGAGAAAACATGTCCTGCAACACCCTCCTGATGATGCTGGATGAGGCATGAGGTAGAACTAGACCACACCTTCAGACCAAAAACAGGTTAGTGAAACTAGCGTGTTGTGAAACATCCTTTGACCCCTCTCTAAATCAGGTTTTTGCATTTGTTCAGACATGTCAAATGATCCCTCTCCTTCCATTTGGAACAATCAATGTTGAGGATTCCGTCATTGGACTAGATTGAACTAAAAACGCAGAATCAGACAGTGCGTGTCAGTGCGTGTGTTGGTTAATATGACGTGACAAATAACATTAAAAAAAAATCACCCCTTAAACGCACTTCTTGAGGACACCATGGTTACGTCCAACCAATGAAATCTGATGAATTCTGTATATTCTTTGGCTTTTCCGCTCACCTCAGTAAGCTGGGTCTGCAGCTCAGCGATTTTTCTCTCGTATATCATCTTTCTGTCTGACACAATGGCCATTAGGTTGAATCGGATCTCTCCTTCACTGTACCTGAGGAGGAAAATAATAGTTCTAATAAGTATAGAGCCTTAGATTAACGATCAGTTGTCTCACTGCTCATTGTCTTAAAAAAAAAAAAAAAAAAAGGTGAAAGGGGAGTCATTCAAATTCGACCACCACTGGGACTAAAGCCATTCACTTCTCTATTCTTTTCTCGATGACAGGCCGAACTGCGCTGATCCAGTCGTCCTGGTTGCATGTACCTGGTGAGACACAGACAGGGACAAATAATACAGCCGGTGTCCGTAGATAAAGTAACCGCACGGTTCATCATCCTATAGGAGACAGTTAAAGGGCAAATGGGAAACAAACTGCAGCCCCACATAGGAGGACCTCTCACGGAGGGACACGACTTCCAACGCTGGCGCTGAGGCGTCTATTCGGCTTACCCAGGTCAATTGGTCCCTCGCGAAGTCCATCGAGCTCGTACAGCCTGCCGTTCACAGGAACGTAGCTCACAAAGTGAAATGCGTCCTCGTCCTTTGCTGACGACTTTGCATCAAATTCAAACATTTGCTGTCTGTAAATGCGGAATAACACAATCATAAGATTGAAATCAAGTATCACACGTACGATGGTTGATGCTGTGGTTTCTTCTATCATGAACAGAATGTTCCATTTAAAAATAGTCTTAAGCAGGTAGAGAAAGTGCTGCGCATCTCGAAACAAAATGGTCTTATTTTCCATTTATTACGTAAGGGAATCAGATGTGACCAACAAATGACCCAGCCAGATGAATTAGCACCAAATTGCCCAATCACAGGTAGAATGAGGGGCTAAAAATAGCATTAAGCCATTGAAACAGACGTTCTTCAGCCCGATATGATACGAGCAGGAGCTTACCTGGCAAAGCTGTTGTGAACTTGTCGGATCACTTCGGAGTTGCTGAGAGCCAAACCTTTCATCTGAGGAGAGGTGCAGGATTAGAAGGCTGACGGTGTATAACCCGTCTTAAAGATGCGGCGGCGTTATGAAAGGCTGGATGGAAGACATTATACATCCTCGTTTCTGGCAACATGCCATGCATTCAATTTGCTTTCCAGGAGTTGCAATGGCGATAATATTAACCGTACTAATTCAATCCTAGACTATATACAGATTATTATCAAGCAGTGAGTGACTCCTGCTTGTTTACCTGCCTAAACAAATAACTGGATTAGACAAAAAAAGATAAAAACAATACGAAAGAATCTTAGTCATTGCAGAAGTCTCTACTTGAAACTTTTCAAAATCTAAGAAGTTGAACATCACTTCACGCTTCATCTCTTGACAATTTGTGGTTCAGACAACTTAGTCATCAAGGTAAGAGGATGAAACCGTCAGGATTGCAAATGAAAAGGGGAAGTTGTGTATAACATTACAGCTCCAAAAAAGAAAGATCTGTTAACTTTGAGGATAAACGCTTAATTGAGTTGCAAGCCAGATACCGTTGGAATTTACGTTACAAATGAAAAAGTTCATAGTTTGATTAAAACCAATATTTACTGTGTTTTTTGAAATCAGGAGAAAAATACCGTAAACGTACAGCAGCGTCAAAACTCTGTGAAAACTCTCGAAATTCTGTCAGCGTGTCTCCAACCAACATGTCGGAGTGGAAGCAGTTGAGCAGAACGCTGACTATGGCCTGCGTAGCACAGGCGTTGTTAATGACCTGAACACACACACACACACACACACACACACACAAAGACAACAATCAATGGGAGGAAGACGTTGATGCAATTATACGTCAAAAAGCCCACATTACACCCATAGTAACTGAACAATCAAACTGTAAAAAGTGGAATGCACAAATTGAAACTATCAGAATGAATCTTTCATTTCCTGCAATCTGCGTGTCTTAATATTGGCATGTGAATACTAATACATATAAAAAAAGTGCTTTCTTCAAAGTGTTAAAAATATCAGAGTGAAGAGAAGCATCCTTGCACTTTGTTGTGGCCTTACAGTTATAGGCCCATTGAATCATGAAGCAAAGCAATTCATTATACAATCGTCTTTACTATTGTTATGATCAATTATGCTTTACAATTTCAGTTACCCATTAACAATCCCTAAGTTTGTAGGCAGAATCCTGCAAAATAACGCTGTCTTGATCTTAAAACAACTTATTTTATTTGAATCTACCTGTTTTGCAAAGAAGATTTGGTCGAGCCTGGAGTCCTGAACGATCGATCCGGCTGGCTCCTCTCCCGGCTGCCATTTGAACAGGAAAATCAACCCATGAACTGGCCTGAAACAGGGTGGATACGATGAAACAGGCCCGTCTTAAGAGGGAGCATGCAGCATATTGATACTAGAGTATTAACATACTTTAAGTTGTCAAAGTTCTCTGGCTCCATACTCCAGATTTCTTCAACCTGGGCGCCTTTGCAACCTGGCGAGGACAAATAAATAAAACATCACATGTATATTCATAGTTGGACAGCACATTTTTTAAGTAAGGTCTTCCAAAACCGTTGACTAAGCGGGCCGACTTTACGACAGGCACGTTGTCAGCAGGACAAACCACAACACATGTTGTGGGGATTTGTATTCACGCGCCGTTGTTTTGAACGCTGAGTAATGCTAGCTAGTTAGCTTGGCCAATTGAATTAGCCATGGCTGCCCAATTATTTCACCCAACTTCATGCAGAATGCATCGTTCTGGTAGTCTCACGCATTCTGTTTTCATGTGCATGCCATTTTATTGATTCAATGGTAGGAAATCAACGGAAGCTAATTTAGCTTCAAAGGAGGTATCTGGCTCGCGCTGTCTAATAGCCACGGCGTAACGTTGCTGAATGAGCAGAGCCAGCTAACGTCAGGACGGCTGTCACTCACCGAAACCCTTAATCAGCTCCGTGAACACGCCCGGGTCGCTCTCCATCAGACACCACTCTCCTGCGCTGCCGGCCATTATTTACAACGCTTTTTATTCAAACTACGGTGCACATACACAAGATGCTGATGCCCTAGCTTAGCCGTGTCCGCTAGTCAAGCTAATTTCAGTGAAGCACTGGTGTGACGTCAACGCGATGGCGTACCACGTGAGCAGTGTGGGTGAGCACGTTTTAATGCGGAGCGTATCCCGGTAGAGAGTAATAGTTATTTGGCATTAATTACTTTAAACTTTTGGCAGCTAGCACCATTTTAGGGGCTACAAATAAACGTTTGGAAAGATAAAAATTATATAATCAATTATGATCTCAAAATAATGTTCTTGACACAATACCCGCCCGCCTACAACAAACAGGGGTAAAAATGCAGCACTCTCACAGTAAAAAAAACGCAAAGCGAGGGGAGGCTGACGGCAGACTTTCATTATATGTTTTATTATTGACAGATTCTCGACAGTTTCTAGTTATTACACACATCCCAAATACCTTTACATGTATAACACTAACCGGCATCAAGCCTTGTTAGATTATTCATACACTCCAGTAAACCATTTAAAAATTCACAAAAGCTTAGCTTTTGCTAAAATTTCAGAAAGAAAAGCCATTTAAAATAGCTTCGACGAGATTAAAAAAAGATTTACATTTTTCATTTTATGAACATTTCTGAGTACAATCTAATTTGAATACACTTGCACATAAAAATGTGATAATCATACAAAAAAAGTAGTTATTGTAATACAATGAAATAAAAAGTTTTGAATTACACTGGCAATACCTCACAACCCAACAATGTTCACAGTTTGATGAAGCCTGATGCCGAGAGTGATCAGGTTTTTTTTTAAGAATGTAATATTATACATATATAATATTATAACAACCATGCAGATGAGAAGTAGTTTCCACAGGTTTTGTTCAAAAGATGGCAGCTTTAATAAGAATACTGTACATCCCCGCATGAATATGTATGTCTCATCAAGTATCAAATGCCCTTTGATAAATAAACAACACGCTCAAGCAATGTTCCACTTGTAGCGCGAAATCAAGCAAACATTTAATAAATACAGGATTGAAAAAAGCTACCAGAACGGTTAGTCATTTAGCGGACTCGAAGCGTCCGCTGCCCGAGCCGTCGGAGCTGGAGGACGGACAGCATGGAGCACACTGTTCGATCAGGGGCAGCAACTTGCCCTGTTGATGCAGCTGTTTGGTATCAGAGCCCCCCCCAATGCAGTTTCCATTAATGAAAACTCTGGGCACCTGAACACACAAATCGGGTTACAACATTAGAGCTTGCAAAATAAATGAAGATCAAGTATCTCGTCTCAGATTTGATAGTCTACAACAGTGAGTCAGCACTGAAATGAAATAAAAGACTAAATTAAATGTGTAATGTTGAACCTCATGTTGATATTTTTAAATCTACTTTCATACCCCAGTCAGTGTCCTCAGTGTATATCAAACCAAATGTATGTACACAGGACATTTTGCTTGTCATAAAATTGTACTTATAAAGTCTTTAACAAAATATTCAAGTTATTACTTATAATTAATAATAATTTAAGGAATATATTTTCCACCATTAAACATAAATTGAACATAAATGCAGAGCTGCCAGAACCAACAGGCTGCAAAGTTACTTCAATGTCCGATAACTCGGATCACAGCAGGAGTCCCTTACCGTTCTGGCACCGGTCATCTGAGCTAAGGCCTCTTGAACTCTTCTCCCGTCACTGTGCTCATCCAGTTCCACCACTTTGTAGGACGCACCAATTTCTTCAAACACATTCTTGGCCATTTTGCAATAAGGACAGGTGGTCTTGGAAAATATCACAATGCAGTTCTGTGACACCATCTCCTGAACGCTCAGGCAAAAAGGAAAAAAAACATGTCATTAAATATCAGTGATTTACAGCAGAGGCAACATGTGTGTGAGCATCCATTTACCTTAACATACTGTACACAGGACGCGCTGGAGAGAGGCGGCGAGGACGTGAAGTTCCCCATCCTGAAGAAAGACAAATGACAAAATTGGAGCAGTTCAATGCATTTTGGTTTTACTGAAGTACATCTTGATCTATTTGAATCTACCTCGAAACACACTACAGGGACTAACACTCCAGAGTAGGTTGGCGCAATAACCTCCGAAAAGTGAAGCTATCGCAGGCAGAGACCATCTGAACGCTGATGATGAGCATTGAAATCATCTCTAACTGGAGGATGACTACTGGTCTGACAACACCCGTTTCCATTGTTACAGTCGTAACGTTAACTGGTTACACCACCGTCTCAAATGTGGCCGCTTGACTCCTTCCAAATGGCAGGCAACTGCAGCGAGGTCTATGAGCCAGGTAATCCGGGATTAGGAGCGCACATGCTCCTCACTGACGATCCAGATTAACTCAGACGCCAAACTACATTGGACATCTAGCGACGTCAAGACTGCACGACACTGTGGAAGAGAATTACTTGCCTCGACGTTATGCTACGTGATCTCCTAATTCTCATTATTTTTTTTACCCCACCTGATTCGCCTCCAAGTAACTTTTTATTTCAGTTTAATCCAAACGCGTGTAAAGTAACCGGTAGCGTGACGTCAGCTAACAACCACGCCAGTGATCGATGTTGTCGTTTTAAACTAAAATAATTGATTGTAAATGGATCACACGCATGCCGAATTTGCTGGAGGAACCCATTGCACTGTGAAAGCTTAAAGGTGTTTGCGTTTGGCTCTTTAAGGCATATGAAATTTAGAACGTTATGAGGTTCTTATGACAGGTTTTAGTTGAGTCTGGTTAAGGGTGACACCGCGTTAAAACACTGTGCTGTGAATGGAGACGCTCGTGTTAGTTGAGCCGTTTGTCCCGTAGTAACGCATTAGTATCGCATTACTAACGTCAACCCCGAATGCACTCCTTTATTCGCCTGTGAGGGTTTAGATAATAACGCAACTAAGAAGCAAGCTAACGTCAAGCTAGCCGGAATGACCTTCGGCAGCCGGTCCAAGCCGCCCTCGGGAGACATCCTGCTCGAGCAAACATGGAAAGAAAAGAAAGTATGGCTAAAAAACAATGGCGCCGGTGGCCCGGATGACACATGCGGTTAGTGCACCGACAGTTCTGGAGTCACACACCACCCGGGCGGCTGTTACTGTACGCTTGCGTTCGCTCCTCATTCAGTGTGTGCGGAAGGTGGAAGCCTACCTTACGACCACCGGAAACAGCTGTGACGTAGGCAGCGGTTTAAAATAAATAAATAAATAAAGTCAACAAAACAAACGTGAAGGAGTTTTAATCACGGTAATTTTTTTTTTTATCAGGGATAGCATTTGTCGTGCGAGCAAAACAAGAAATAGACTGGAGACTTTACTCAAAGCAACATGACAAAGCTTATTTGCAACAAGAGGATTCTGTCCTGTAGTTTAACGTGCACGGACCTATTTCTATTATATAGTCTCTAAGAGCATTTTTGATTGGTTATTAAGATGGAGGCGGCTCCTGTTTAGAACCCTCGGAGAGGGTCACGCCTCCCGTTGTTCATGAGTTCTTCATATCAGGATGTTTGCAAGATGTGTGCAAGATGATTTCATATGAGTGCTTGGCGCAGTTCTAGGTATGGACATGTTATTCTTAAAATGGGGAACAGGTGGTTCCTGTTGAACTGCATTTGACCCAGATTGCAACATGTTTGTGTGCTGGTGTTGTGATTTGAAATACATGTTGTTCGTGCAATCCAGCCTTTAAGCGGCCTTCACCTATTATTACTATGCATTTATAGTTCAAGTGTAATTGCATTCTAGCGTAAGCGTGCATGTTTAGATTTGAATACTCAACACATTTAAGGCTGAGCATTTCTCCAGACCAGCTCTGATTTGATAAATTGATAAGATTTGATAATAGTTACCCAACACACACATCAAATCATAGGAGGGGAGGGGGTTGCCATGGAGAAGGCCTTTTCCCCCAAATTGTGATGCCTGGACAGAGTACAGAGTAGGGGGGAACGGGTTGTCTGTCGGTGGTTCTGAAGTTGCAGCCTGATCTCCAAAACCTGTTTGTTAAAATGTATACGAAAATCTTGAACATACAAATTCGTAGTGATACATACGAAATAAATACAGACTGCAACTGATGACGTCACCCTATTCAAAGTGAATGGGGACCTGCACCCCGTAAACACACTTTGTGAAGTCTAACGATGTAAAATAAACGTGTTATGATTGCATTTTTAACGAGAAATCAATGTTAACTTGTAAGAATAGAATACTAACCCTAACCCCCTCAAAAAATCCAACATGGCGGAGAGACGTTCACTCAAGAATTCAACATGGTCCGCCATGTTGTTCACTCAAGGGGCGTGGTTAACCACCGGCAGTTCCTATGTATTGTTACAAATTTGTATGTTCAAGATTTTCGTATACATTTTTACGAACAGGTTTTGGAGATCACGTTGGAAGTTGCAGTTGGGAGTCGGTTGCAGGAGGTCCAAAAGGTACGAAGAGTGTGGGTTGTGAGAGACGTCTATTATGAGCAGTGTATTCATTTCAAATAAAGCACGTAAAATATATATTCTCGCCTGGCCATCTTGGCTTTTCCCAACAATTGCATCATTTGGGAAAGGATTTACACCATCAAAAAGCATCAATGGTTCTGCTCTGAAATCGGTTACACTCGACACAAATCCTGAAATGTTATGAAAGGCAGGGGAGAATAACGGGAGGGTTAAAATACCTGCTTCCAGAATTGATATACAAGATAAAAGACAAGGAGGATTGGTCCAACTGATCTCTACAGCCTCAGTTATTTTAGTCCGACTGGATGGAGCTTTAGCATCGAGCTGGAGTCTTCACCTCACCTTTTTCCCTCACATAAAGGGAGAAGGCTTCATCGAACCCACTGTGTGTGTGTGAGTGAGAAGGGGGCGCGGGGTGTATGGGTGTGTATAAGACCTGGGTTAAAGTAAGGATAAGCTTAAGGTTATGCTGGTAGCAGCTGGACTGCTGATGTGCAGAGGACACGGTGCAGTACTCTGGTGTGAAGACAGGAGGCAGACTCTGTTTGCTGTGCTCGCTGTTCAAACGTCCTTAAATGTGATGGGCAAAGGTTCCCTGATGTCAAATTCTTAAGCTGCCGACCATATGGACAAGCAATTTGTTTTTCTTAATGCTGTTTACATTCCAACTGATTGAATTTTTCAAAAATGCATTAAAGGAACTCACTATTATTTTGTCTTTTTTTTTTTTACAGCAAATGCGCTACAACTCTTTTCACACTATTGTGTGCATTTGTTTGTCTAGGCGTGGTTTCATGAATTGTTTGGACAGTAATCATTCCGCACAGTGATAGTGAAGACTTAACTTTGTTATGCGGACATCCTCGTGTTGTAAATCATTATATTTGGGCTGATGTTTTTATTTAAGGTTAGGATATGGTTAAGGGGTAGGATTAGTCTGGAGCGTTAATGTTGAGGATAAGTCTCCAGGAAATGAATATAAGTTAATGTATTGCCCCCAAAAGTCATGAAAACCACCGTGTGTATATAGTAAACACTTTAACGTCTTTGAAGCCAGATCAAACCAAAATAACCTGAACTGGGGTTATTGTGCCTTCACCAAACACTACTAATAGGGCAAGTGAAAAAAGGAGTCCTTCTGGCCGGTCAAATGTTGCCATGTCAACGGTAAGCCTTTAATGACCTCTGAATGCAGGAACACATCATTAAATGATGAAAAAAAGAGACCAATTCCCAATTACTGGTCATTGTAGAGGCACCTTTAGTTCATTCTGTTTGGACACAACTGATTTGTATTATCTCTCTCTTACAGCAGTAGATAGACAAACATGAGGCACATACTAGAAGTATTACATCTGACAGGAAATGATAACCGACAAATACTCGCTACAAGAATCAAAAAACAAATCATATTTATTTAACATGTCAGGCACTGACAGAAAAGGTATATGCTCTCCCTCCTATAAATGTATATATTGTCCCCAAAAGTCATGAAAAGTCAACTGCGTGTGTGTGTTTATGTGTGTGTTGAGTAAACGCTTTAACATCTCAAAAGCACCTCTAGATCAAAGCACCACAGCCTGTACTGGGGTTATCATGCCTTCATCAAACGTTGCGCATGGGACAAGAGTAAAAATGAGTCCCACTGGCTCGTCAAATGTTGCCATGGCGACGGTAACCCCTCAATAACCTGTGAATGCATTCTTATCACTATTTTATGTAAATAGCAAAAAAAGACTAATTCGACATTACTGGTCGTGGCGGAGGCATATTTAGCTCACACAAGGCACATGCTGAATGGTCTTGCATCCAACATGAAATAATAACAAATAAGACACTCTTAAAAGTCACCAGAATTGTAAGAAAAATCAGTCAGTGTCAGGGAAATATGCACACTCTTCCCTCCATGTAAAAAAAAAGGTTGGTAATGAGGCATGGGAAAACATTTCAAGCCGCAATGAACTTCTGACATGTGGAAGGGAAATTCATTGACAAATTGTTGGTGGACAATGAGCATTTGTAATGCTGCTAGAACATTTATAGTCTCCAGATAGATGTACGCACCCACGTATACAGAATGATCACCGCACATTTAACATGCCGATACCTTGTGCAAATTGTTAATGTGGGATATTGAGAACACAGGTTGACAGCCCTACAAGTCGACCTATCAAGTCGGGACGATATCAGAGACTCTAATGTTATTCAGAAAATGTGGTTTGATGAGGAGGATTTATCTTTGCAAAAGACTCCACCGCCATTAGTGTGAGATATATTACACATCTCATCGGCATCAGTACTCTGATGCTTCACTTTGACAAATTAGAGACGAGCGCAGGGGGAGTTGTTGACATTGCTTCTTCTGGTTTAACATTTGTTTGGAATGCAAATCACAATGCGTTCATGGACATCGTTTATTTATGCCATTTATGTGTCTTGGTTCATGGATCGGAAACCTTCCCTGCTAAAAAAAAAAAGACTCTCACATCAAATTGTATCAGAAATTCAAACTCAAATCCTTCTGATATGTATTTTTTTTCTTTGGTGAAAGAAACGTACTCAAACACCTGGTACATGTGGGGAGGAGGGAACATTATCTAAGTATAGGGAACAGTCCACGTGTCCAGACATGCTCTTGTAATGGTTGTTATCATGAAAAGGGAGAGAAATAGTTGTGTGGAAGGAGATGCAGACTATCAGGCCGGCTCATCACAGCGTTAAGTGGGTGTGAATGTCAGATTGTCTGTTTAGGTAAAGATGTGGTTGGACACGGCTAACCCTAATCTAACGTCAGAAAGGTGGGGGGGGGGGGTCCAGAAGCATCTGACAAGCACTAGAATATTTAAGAAATTTGCAAACACCTTTTTACGTGTGAAAAGTGAGACTGATGAGCATGATTTCCCGACAATGTCTTACACTGGATGCTCTTCCTTTTTTCCTGTAGAGAAAAAAGTAAAACACAAATAGACACAAGACCGTATTTGTTGAAACATGTTTGGTTTTGGTTAGTTCTAAACACTCACACAGATTTGTGTTTTATACTTACTGGTCGATTGTGAATTATCTTTGTTGATCTTAGTGTGGCGTACCTCTAAAAAGATATCAAACCTTTGATTTGGAACCAAACGGACAATGATGACAAGTGAACGATGTTTTGATTAATTGCTCTGTTCTTTAAACTACATGGCTGAAAATATGGAAGTTGAGAACATGATTATTTAAAGTACAGAATGTGATGAGTCTTGAGTTGCTTTCTTTCGCCCTGCACCTGCTTCTATTTTCTCTGTAGCTAGCACTTTCTGTAGGCCAGGCAACCCCGATGCCGAAGACAATTCTTAATTGTAGTCTGCATTGATTAAAGAGTAGTTCTCTTCGCGCGTTGGCTTGATCGAGTGCCCTGGAGTTTCTGCTTAACAGGCAATTGTCAAAGTGCATAATAACTCATTTTTAGTCAGTTCGTCAATAAGCTAACGCTAAAATCTGTAGCACTTATCATGCGGATAAGCAAAGTGTGTGTCACTGGGATTTTTCACTCCATGTGAGTTTCTGTCAGGAAAGGAGCTGAGCTTCAGCCAGACTCGACAATCATTTTTGTGAAGAGAAATGTGTCAATAAGGGCCGAGTGCAGTCAGGAGGCCGGTGCTGATTCAAAACATGCTTAATACAAGGCC